CAGCCAAAAGGCTCATTGTGTTCATCTGGTGTAATGGCACCAGCCAGGAAGTAACGCAGGGCTCAGGGTAACACAAGCCCCAGGCTAACGCACATAGCGTAGGCCTTGGGCCTGCTCCAGTCTCAGTTTTGCAGAGGCAGGAATCCCAACGTGATTTTAAGCAGGCAAAGGTGAAAATGTTTTACAGTGCAGTGCTCACCCCATCAGAGAGCCAGTCAGGCTGAAGTCCACCTTACACAATTCATGCTGCTCTTCATCATCTGCACCCCCCTGGAGTGTGATGCCCAATGGCTCTCTTCAGGTGCTGCATGAGTGAGTTGAACTGTGATGCATTCATTGTACCAGCTCCATGCTGGATACAGAAGCTGTCATCTTTTAGCCTACAGAATTTAATTTTCTTTATTCCCTCAACTTTGATTAAACGTTATCTCTTGATAGAATTGCAAAGTTAGCATTACCCTGAAAAAGCCAGACTCATCTAACTGCAAGGATTTCTCTTAAGTGCTGCTGGCCCTTACAGGCTGGCAGTCCTTTCCTCCAGTCCAGGGCTCGGACACTTGCCACCCCCCTGGAAGTTCCTTCACCTCTGCAGGCACCTGAAACCACTGAATGCACTCTAACCTGAGGGCTCAGCAGCATTCAGCACAGTGACTTGCCCTCTCCCTTACAGCTGTCCTCCCTGTGGCAGCCAGGCTGCTATCCAGGATATTCCTGGTCCTTCATATCTTTCCTTTCCCAAACTTCCCTTCAGCTTTCTCTGCATCACCAAAGCTCAGCTGCAGGCAGGACCTTTCTGCCACCTTTCCTACATTTCATTAGTTTTCAGGTTTTTTTTTTTTTTTTTTAATATCATGAGAGTCTTGTCTGCAAAATAAATGCAGCTGCAATCCAAGGTCCTGAGCTCAAAGCTGAGATGACTAAAATAGAACCCACTTCCTGCCCCCGACTCCGCTTTTCTGATAATCCTACTTGTAGATGTGAGTGTTTAGGGAGCTGCAAGTTGAATGTGGTACCCAGAGGTAGTACAGCTCTGGCACGGCAAGAACTAAAGGGAGGTACAGAAGACAGCAGTGATGATACAGGAGTTCAGCTTCCAGCAACCCAAGACTCAAGAGCTATTAGACCTTTTCTACCGAAGCAATAAATAAGGTGCAGCATCTTTTCCAACCTTAAAGATTCTATCAGGTTATGCTGTAAAAAAAAAAGTCATCACTAAATAGGAGTACACAACAGAACAATAAAGCAGTAAGGTTTAAAGCAACCCCAACAAAACCAAACAAAAAAAACCCCCAACAAAAAAAACCCAAAACAACCCCAAAATACCAAACTCTATTGTACTCGCTGAATCTTGAACACTGACGCTTCAAACAGAATTAGGCAGAGACACAGATAACAGGTAAATGGCTGTTAAACAGCACTCTGGAGAACAGTGTCAGGAAGACCTTGATAACGGTACGAAGAACTGTTTGGCACAGGGGAAGAGTATGACATCACTAGGGATGGAACACATTATACTTCAAGAATTATTACTGGCCACTGTCAAACAGACAAGACTGACCTCAGGTCTGGCCTAGTACTTCGGTTTAAGATTTAAACATTACACAACAAACTGAAAAAATCAAATACAGCCCAAGAGGAAAGGCTGTTCAATTACAATTAATTCAAACACCCTCAAATTCTCCGCCTTCTGACTCTGATAAACGCCATTTGGTTTTGCTCCAGCCCAGTGAACATTATGAGAAAACTCCTAGTCACAGGTCAAGGCTTTTAGTTCCCTTCATGGGCTTTTCCACAGCAGCTCAGCGAACTGCTTATGCTCACTGTTGGAGCCTGCTGTGAAGGGCTGCAGGGAAATTCACTCCTCTCAGATTCGGCTCCCTCATCCTTTGTCCGTCTTCACTCTTCCCTCCGCTGACTAGTCGTGAGTTTTGTGCCAACACACTGGAGAACAACCCGATTCCACTGTTACCTACAGGATCGAAGGGGCTGACAAGGCTGAGCCGGCTGACATATTGTGAGGCAGCAGCCAGAACTGTAGTCCCAGCCTCTCCTTCCCATTCACTCTTATTCCATGGTCTGCTTCGTATTCATATTTTAATTCCCAGACAGCAGAATGCAGTATTTTTGAGTTTTTATCTATGCAGCACTACAGGGTTCATTTAACTAGTCCACCTAACAAGCAGGTTTTTTCTTCCTTTTTCTTCCTTTACTTACCATCCTTTTTCCCTCCGTCTTTGCCTAGCAGTGAGAAGACACACCCCATTCAGCAGAAGGGTGCCCACCTTCGAAAGGAGAGTCTGAGAGGCAAAGGACACTGTAAAACAAGTAGCTGTGGGTTAGACTGGTTTTGATTGCACTGATGAAAGAGTTCAAAAACTTTATTGACCTATAACCTGATTAGAATATGCCAGATGAGAACCAAATATTGTACAGAAAGTTGTACAGAATTTTTTTTACATAGAAAACTTTACATATCTGTACCATATACATTTTGTCCATCTGAAAAAAATTTCTACATCCATTGTAATACAGAATGCTTGACAACCTCGTCTTTCAACCATCAGAGCACGATTCACAGTATGAATACATTTCCAATAAATTTAACCATCCCCAAACCATGCCAGATTTGTTACTTGAATATATGCAACATTAAATTCTGTACATGAGTGAAATCTACATCGAACAAAAAAACATGTGACAGCAGACACAACCTAGACTTGTTTGCAGTGATTCAAGTTCCAGTCCTTGAAGGATCATCATTTCAATGGCTCGTTATATTTAAAAGCCCTAAAACAAGTATATTACAGGTAGTTATGTCAGTCGTGATATTTCTACACCTCTGTTCTTGACAAAAGTCAGCAACACTAACTTCTGGGCTACAATGAAACAAAACAAAAAACAAACAAACAAAAAAAAAAAAGAAAAGAAAAGCGAAAAAAAATCACAACCCCAAAAAAATAACCCCAAACTTCTAGTGCATTTGGTAAACAATGAAGTGTTACGGGTTTTCAGCAAATCAATAATACAGAAATAAAACAATTCAGGAAGAACTGTATAGTGTTAAAGAGTTTATATTACAGACCTGCATCTCTGTACATTTTTCACAGAAGGATGATTACCAATGTCTCAGACAGCCTGAGTGTGCAAAAATCTTAGAATAAGAATATCAGACATAGTTGCTAAATATCTTTTACCATGAACAATAATCTCCATTTTCTTTTCACTATAAACATTTTATCCTTCAAAATACAGCTCTCCTGAGTTGTACTTCTTGCAGAAGCTCAAACCTTTACATATATAGTTCTTTGGGTACATTTTACTTTCACACCCGCCATAAACATCTGTTGCTATACTGCTGTCTAGGACAGTAAAGGATATTGCAGCCCGTGCTGACAAGAGGACTGTGCTAAAAACTGGCTCTGTGCTCGGCACGAGCCAGGGAAGAGAAACCGATAGAGATAATCCGTCAGGAAATAAAGGGACTGGAGTGTTGCAAGCCTTAATTACAGTTGTAAGCATCTGTACCGTTAACCCTTGGATACACACTGCCGTACAAAGAAACCATTTTTATGGATATCCAGACAGAATGCTCAGCTACCTGGTCCTTTTATTTAGCTGAGGAATATAAACTTTTAAACGGAGCGATAATCAGTCACTAGCTGCTACTGCTTGCTTATTCCAGACTCTTGTTCCGGTGGTTGGGATATTTGGAAAACCACACCAATCCGCAGGAAAAACCTTCGTAGAACAGCTCGAAGTTCAGGAATAAGATCAAACTGCATAATTTCACACAACAGAGGATAGTAGAATGAGGCATGAGCCTTGAACTGTGGAGAAAACAAACGGAAGAAATTATTCTATTATGCGTCAATACACCTCAGAAAGCATTTAAATGCTCTCCCAAGCCAAGGTGAGGAACCCACAAAGTGGCATCAGAAACATCTGTATAACCGAAGGTGGCAGTGCCAGAATAAGGCTAAGACGGCTGTGATGTATGCTGACAGATGCTCGCTAGCTACACGCAGCCCCTTGCTAATGCTTATTCTTCAAGAGGAAGAATTTTGCTATTATCAGTTAAGTTTTTTGTTGTAGTTGGCCTCTTTCATGTAATATTTCAGCCAAGTTTTGTTAGAAATAGAGGGAGATGTGAATATGCATTTATTTACTGCAGAATTGCTTTGGAAAAGGTCAAGGTGATGTCATCATAGCACTGGAAGCAGAAACAGGAGCTATTTCTTTGAATAAAGCATCAGCCATGAATCCCCTTCCTTGGCAGGAGAGGGGTAAAAGCAACTTTACGCACATTTCTACAGGATTTTTAGCATCTTTTATATTTTCTCAGTCACATTTTATTTTATTGCTCAGTGCACCCTCACTCTGCATTCTGACTGTCAGTATCTGTCAAGTGCAGTGTCAATGTACATCCCCTCAAAAGAGGGCCTGCAGAGCAGCAGGAGCTTTTACAGTTGAGTACATAACTGCGCATGAAGAACCGGTCTGGAACTACTACTTACCTGTAAACGTTGTCTTAAATACCATTCCAAACAGTTACTTACCCTTTCATCACTTATCTTCAGCACTTTAGTCAAAAATAAGAGTAATAGATTAGTCCAGGCTTCCCGATGACTTTCTGATGTAAGAGTGAGGAAATAACTCAGAGCCTCGCTGCAGACACTAGAGAGGAAAGACAAAAACTAGTAACTAACATTTTATTTTGAGCTCTACTGCAGAGAGGGAGCTTTGCAACTATACCAGTGTAGAGCCCTGGTGTAGAACAGCATCGTTTTCTGAAAGCTACTGTAAGTAGTAAGAGAAAGCAGTGATTTTGTTCAACTCAGAACCAAAGCCCCAGGACTTTGGTATTAAATACACTGTAAATACGTGCACAAACAGCACGATCGTATTTTGTTAGCGTGTCAGGTGCTCTTTGAGAGGTATTAAAATGCACGTGACAAAATGATACGCAGACTTTAAAAATACTTTCACTGTGTTACTGCCATGGTTTTAAGACCTCTGTTATTCCAACACTTGCTTGAACAACTTCGTAAACTAAAAACATTCAGGTGAACCTTAGCATTCACGGCAATGAATAACCAAAGAGCCAAAAGCTGTGTGACATAGGCTTCTGAAACCCAGCACTCATTGCTACAGATGAGAACAAATAGCATCGGTTCCCTAAAATATTTGAGGTTACCAAAAGAAAAAAAACAGGGTTGAGGTGACAGTTGCTTTTCTTTTTAAAGAGGAGCTCTAACTACCCCCCACTTACCCACATGTTACAAAAAAAGGTGACAAAACCTTTGTTCTCTCCTGCAAAATACGTGTTGAGAAGAAAAAGCAGAGGCAGTATTAGCAGCGGAGGCACAGCACTCTCCACACAATGTAAAACTTCTTAATATTAGTTGTGCCCAGCACCATACTGTGTTAGCCCTAGGAAATTTGCTGCAAACAGAAGAGATCTATCCTTTTAAATAAAAATAAACATTCTTTAACACCAGAAATAACATCAACAGGTTCAGCTACGTGGACCTTACTTTAGTAGTCTTTGCTGGACCTCCTCCCATGCACTGGTACGGCTTTCATCCATGTACATACGGAACAGGATGCGCAACCCGCAGGCAAGACTACTGGTCTCCTGTTTCAGGAGATTAGGCTTTGATTTGCCTTTGAAACCTGGAGAAATTCCAAGCATCCATTTAGATTTTTGTTTCATCTGATGTTTTTTCCTTACGGTCCCCCACTTCTCCTTCTGAACATCATCTGCATTAGATTAGTTAGAACCACCACCTCATGTAATTAATTTCTCACTACATTTAGTACAGTAGAACACTGCTAAAGATTAACCCATGTATATACGCACCAAAATTGTGTTTGGCACCCATTTTTATATAAGCTTCCAAGTAGATGTGATAACGTGCATTCTAACCACCTGAACAATGGACCGTTTTCTCTCAATCGTGTACCTTAGTGTAAACTGGTTTATTGCTTGTTTTTGGTAAAAATGTCTACAATACTACTGTTTCCAAAGCTGTTACTGTATAATTAATCTCAGTGTGCTAGTGGAGGTCCATACACCAAAAAACATACCCTAAATATTAGTACTCCTTCACTCAAGCTGAAGTGGTTCTGTGTATGCATACAGCAACGCACATGACAGCTTGCTGCATATTCACGCTATGCATTCACCATTAAAAATATTAATATAGGTAACTTTGGTGCAAGGAATAGATTAAACACAACGCTACACAGAGTTCATTTTCCATCTGTTTCAGAAAAGGACACATATTTCACTTATACACCAGTAGGTAAAACAACCCCCGTAACAAATTTCGGGGTTTTTGTGCCTGGAGCTTCCAAGCACAGGGCTCTCATCTACAGCCAGGGATCAGCCTGGCAGCTGCAACCCAGTGAAAACTTAAATTTTAGAAAATTGAAAAGCTATTTGCACCTGCACAAGTGAGGTCTCCCTTTAGGGCTTCTAGGGTTATAGAATTACAGCTTGATATTCAATTTTACATTCAGCATCGAAGTATTTTTGACCTATTTTTGGGTCAATTCGAAGCACGGTAACACATTCTCACAAAATATTTCTTCAAGGTGACTGACTCACCTGCTTTCCAGAGAGCAGTTCTTTGTTCATTGTTTGAATTAAATGCTTTAGCAAATCTGTGAGATTCCAGCAGACAATCAAGAAGTTTGAAAAGCTGCTGTGATGTTAGAAAACGATACATCCCTTGATCTTGTGTATCCACATGGACATCGAAGTCTACTGCATCTCTCTATTAAAAAAAAAAGAAAAAAGAGAAAAAGATTTCAAGTAAAAATTCACAATTGTCTTCAGCAAGCTCTTGTGATAACTCAATCCTACTCTGTTTTCATCCGTACTTTTACTTAAAACTGTATTAAAAGTTGTATCCACATCACAGTTACATAAATCCCTTTGAACAACACAGGTTTTAATCTCCACAGCGTGCTGCCTCAGCACAGCTAAGGCAATTTAATGCGTGATGTAAAAGATCTCAGTCTGCTGGAAGTTCTCAAGCGCTTCTAAAAATTGTAAATTAGACAATGTTACGGGAATTTATGAAACTTTATCCACGAGAGATAAAGCTGTTAAAGAGAGAGATACCTATCGGTTCCACTTACTTGTGCTGCTGCTAGGTTCTCTGCATCCTCTTTTTTGCTAGTTGCTGGGAAGAACACAATATTGTCGATAGTCTGAATGAGTTCCAGTTGTACAACGCATTTGATCAAAAGAGCAGCAAATAACTTCTGTTCTGGAAATTCTTTAAAGGAAGAAAAAATTTGCTTGTTAACTAAAGAACTACAATACTTTTTTTTTTTTTCTTTTCTTTGAGCTATTTTGGGGGTAAGGTGAAGAACACCTTAACTTCAGGGACATTCATAAACCAAACCCGGAATCCACCCATCTGAATGACTCTTCTAAAACCAGGCCCGATCACCATGTTAACAATTGGCAGGTTTTAAAAAACTATTTCCTAACTTTAAAGTCACCTGCCATATATTGGACAAATACTCAGCATTACCTAAAAATCACCAAAATTAGCGACCTTGTTGTTAGCATCAGTGCAACGGCAAGAACCAGAAGCTGAGACTGTCCAAACGCCCACAGGCAGAGGCGGCTTAGGGTAGCACTGATATCACTGATGCGTGTTTGTACTCGTGGCAGGTACTAATACCACCAGACATTAGCATTTTAAGCACCAACTCATAACTTTGCACAAGTATCTTAAGGGTTTGATAAACTCTCTTCAAATGAGCCTAAATACACCTCCCACCCCACCCCCCAGCTATTGCTTCTGTTGCATTCTGTCCAGAAAGAACTTTGCTCTTAAGAAAAAAATAAATTGCTCATTTACATAGCATTATAAGGAGAGTACTATTTTTAATGTTTTGCTTTGAGTAAAAAGCCTGCAAGTTAGCAGCTGAACTCTAGATTTTTTTTAAAGCACAAGTCAAAAATGTGGAACAACAAGGCACCAACAGAATTCTGTCATACTACATGAAGGCAAACATTTAACCAATGTCATTTTCTTTACATCATGTTTCTAAATTTATAGCTGGGGCTATAACCAAAAATATCAAACATCTGCTAAATACTACTCTGAACAGATATAAAATGCCAAATAACTACAAAACACGCACTTGCTGTTGGCCTGGTTTTACTCATTTCTTCACCTATGGTGGACCCTGCGCTGGGTTGATATGGACGTCCATCTGAAGATCTAGGCTGAATAGAATCATGAATATCTACTGACTTCTGTGAGATTGTATCCTGAAAAGACAGCAAAAAAAATAAAAAAATTAACTTACAGAAAACTTATGTGAGCTAATCGTCAACAGAGTTGTGCTCTTCATAGCTTAAGACATTTGTCATTTCAACACTGCACTTTTTCATTCACTTTAGTCATATTTGATATTAGCATTCAAGAAAGATGTACTAAAAAGATGACCTCTTAAGAAAGAACTGAAAATTGAACAAGCAACAAATACTTAATTACACAGCAAACATATGCTACAATGAGTAGTATTTTGCACATAGGTTTTTTCTATGCCATCCAAGCATTTAGTATGTCAGCCAACAGTTAGTTTGACTTCTACCAGACTAAGTGCAGGAGGTTTGCTTCAAGGTTCTGATACTGGGAAATGCAGTATCTACCTTGATCTACAATAAAACCCTCTAATAGTTTTTGTGACAGTTTGTATTCCTTTTATAATGGGTGACAATGTGGACACACAGCTCTGAAATGACAAGGCCAAACAATATGAGGTATCATCAAACTTTAATCTTTACTTGCCTTTACTCCCTTGAATATTCTGAATTACTAGCTCCTACTGACATGTTTGTAGGTGCTGCAGGAATCTACCACAGTAAAATGATGGAGGAGGAGAATATACGCATATCAAGAAAATGCTCTAATTTAAAATCCTTTTGCCAGAGAGCTGTTTCAGCAGACTCTTGCAATACGTTCTGATTCTCCATGTTGTATGTGTTTTCTTGTGAGCTAGAACTCACTGACCTTGGAAGACAAATCGTTGGGGGTTTATTTTTTTAATATATTATCTTCCTTCTTGATCAAGTATTAAAATCAATGGAAATACCTATTGTTTTCATTTCAGAAAGCGTTCATTGAAAGAGAGAAATGTAATTAATCTAATTAGGAACAAAAGATGTTATCATTAACTGCAAAGCAGTTATATATAGTGATTACTGTCCCTTGCAATAACCCCGCGTTTCTACTGGCATTTGTTCCGTAAGTGCTGCTGGCAACTACACATTAATTCCCTGCATGGTGGTATTTGCAAGATTCAAATCTACACATACAGTTCCTATGAAGACAATATCAACTTCTCATACCAGTAAATAACCAAGGTTTATCTCTCAATTATTAAGTATAAATATATTTTAATAGATGTTATGTCTATAGATAGTAGAATGCATCCTTATATTTGAACTACCTGAAAAATCAGACAGAAATATCTAAAGCCTGCAAAAATTCTGTCCTACCAAAAGAATGGATCCCAAATGTATCTCCTTTAACACTATTTATTATACAAATTCTGTTAATTTTGAAGTTGTAAAGTGTCTTTTTACACTGAAGACAAAAAAGATTTTTGAAATCATTCATGTTAAGCTATTTCAAAGAGGAAAGATCTTTCAGTTTATTCATGACTAAGACATTCAATATATTTGCCATTTTTGCATGCTATTATATTTGATATAAATGGATCAAAAATATAGCCAACATTTAGATTAAATATTTTATACATCACACCACTACAAATGAGTCAAGATATAGCAAGCACATTCAGTCACATGGATGTAAAATACGTGTGTAATGAGAACTGGCCATCACAAATATTTACACTCTGTTGTAAGTAAATTATGTTAACACTCCATAAACACAAATGGATGGAGTCGGTCTCTCTTAGTAGAGCTAATTTGGGACCATATCCTTGAATCAATTTTATCAAATGCTTCATTAGTCTACAAAGAACTTCATGCAGCAGTCTTGTGAGAATGTCCAAAAGCTAAACTAATTCTCATCAGCAGTAAAGTAGCTACCAGGCTGCCACTTGTAGGCAAGTCCAAATTTTACATCAGTTTATTCAATCAGTGCTAAGAAATCTGATGGTCATACATATTTCCTATTTGAAACACTGATGTTTAAGTTCTCAGTACCAGAGAAAATTTGAAGGAAAAACGTCAATCCAACTGGCAAACTTTCCACCTCCAGCATTTTCTCATGATGCCAATACATCAAAGAGAATATTGAGCAAAATGAAACCAAAACCAAGCCCCAAACCAGAAAACAACTCAAACTGTAAATACAGTATTACAGATACAGGACATTACCTAAAACACACACAGATAACGACCTACAGCCAACTTCTGGAAGCCAACTTTGTTGCAAACAAATACTGCTCTTTCTCAATTAACTCCTTGCCATTTTTAAGCATTACATAGCACTTTATCTGGAAAAAACTTTTTTCAAGTAAATCAAAAGTGAAAAATGGGCTTAAGCATACTTCTCACTTATTCTATTTCACAACACATTTGTACCATACTCTTGCAAGCTTTTAAAATATTGTTTATTTCAGCAGCTTACCAGTTTTTCTTTTGCATCAGAGGGAGATCCAGAGCCAAATTCACCACTGACTGGTCGCCAAGTCAGCAGCCTTGAAAACACAAAACCAGTACCAAATGTATTAAGTTTGAAAGACAAATCAGAACTGATATTCTAAAAAGTCCACTTCAATATGGTGGGGGTTTTGTTTAATTTACATTAATGGAAGCCAAACATAAAAAGAGTCGGATATAGATATTTCCAGAAATGAATAAACTAATTTCAGTTTTAAGTATACATTTTATTCTTTCACACAGAATGAAAAATTTAACTATTGTGCTTTTTGATCTTCAACATTTCTGCCAATTGCCTTGGAAGAACAAGCGGATTATGTGGAGGTGGATTAATTTTTCTCAGAAATACTGGATTTGGCTTTAGGCAGTGCTCTAGTGCCATTAGTGGGCCTTGGTCTCTCACACTGTCCAGCTTTACCTGGAATAAGGAATGAATCTACCCCAGGACAAATCAGCATGAACGTCTGGAGATGTTTTGCATTCTCTGTCTGGGATACGTTCCAGCATTGTGGTTCTATTTATACTTAGGAGTCATTGCTGTTATGAGGTACCAAGTCACTGACAATACTTCTGATCTCTTCCCTGCAGTTGTCCTACAGCACGTTGCTGTCTTGAGGATCTTCAACGTAAGCACTAAAAAATTTCTACATTAATTGTAACTTACTGAGGCTGGCTGTGCCTGCCAAGAATTGAGGGACATTGGATTAAATAACCTAAGCAGTCTCATCATCTCTTGTTCTATCAAATCTATTGCTACAAAGTAAGATTAAAGTTATTTGTCATTGTTATGATCTCAAACTATTTAGCCTCAATCTGTGTGAGGCAACACTTGATGGACATCTCTGTCTGCATATCCTAAGTGAGATCTTTCCCATTGTGTTAAGGTTCCTAAATTAACTTATCACTGATCTCCATACACCTAAAGACCATACAACTAAAAATACAAATCAGAAAAGACAAAATCTTGAGGCATTTAATGAGACAACAAATAAAGTAGAGCAGAAAACTGAATTGAGTCTTGAAAGCTACCAGGACACAAATTGCAGATTATTCTGGACTAGAGGTTGTTAAATACAGTGCAATTTATTTGGGGCTATAAAGTCCTAAACTTCTATCTGTCAAAGTAGGCATTGGAATAATGAGCCATTACGAGCCGGTAGAGGCCAGATCATCGTAATTTGTGCAAAGAACCAATTCTAACTCCTGAAGACAAGAGGGCATTCATCCTGGCTTTCTCAGTGTCAGCAAGCCAAGACTTGCTCTAATGAACCTTCAGAAAATCTCAATTAAAAAAAAAAGTTATAAAGAGAATAGAAATTAAATAAAAAGAAGAACTGAAGAAACTATTAAAATGAGCTAATGAAATACGGGCTGGATGAGCAAACAGTGAGGTGGATTGAAAACTGGCTGAACAGCTGAGCCAAAAGGGTGGTGATCAGGGGCATAAAGTCTAGTTCAAGGCCAGTCACTACTGGTGTACCCCAGGGGTCAATACTGGGTCCAATTCTGTTCAACATCTACATTAATGATCTTGATGATGGGGCAGAGTGGACCCTCGCCAAATTTGCTGGTGACACAAAAGTGGGAGGAGAGGCTGATACACCAGAGGGTCATGCTGCCACCCCAGAGGGACCTTGAAGGGCTGGCAAAATGGGCTGACGGGAACCTCATACAGTTCAACAAGGGGAAGTGCAAAGTTCTTCACCTGAGAGGAACAAGCCCATGCACTGGTACATGCTGGGGGCCACCCAGCTGGAAAGCAGCTTGGCAGAGAAAGCCCTAGTGGACACCAGGTTGGACATGAGTCAGTGATGTGCCCTTGCTGCAAAGAAAGCAAATGGTGTCCTGGGCTGCATTAGGAGAGTTGCCAGCAGGTGGAAGGAGGTGATCCTGCCCCTCTGCTCAGCACTGTGTCCAGTCCTGGGCTCCCCAGTATAAGAGAGACATGGATGTATTGGAGAGAGTCCAGCAAAGGGCCACTAAGGTGATGGAGGGAGGGGAGCATCTCTCCTGTGAGGAAAGGCTGAGAGCTGGGACTGTTCAGCCTGGAGAAGAGATGGCTTAGGGGGATCTCACCAATGTGTATAAACACACGCGGGGAGAATGCAAAGAGGACAGAGCCAGGCTTTTTTCAGCAGTGCCCAGTGGCAGGACCAGAGGCAACAGGCACAAACTGAAACAGAGGAGTTTCCCTCTGAACATCATTAAACACTTTTTCTCTGTGAGGGTGACCGAACACTGGCACAGGTTGCCCACAGAGGCTGTGGAGCTTCCCTCCTTGGAGAATTCAGAAGCCAGGAAGTGGTCCTGGGGAAACTGATCTGGGTGGCCCTGCTTGAGCAGGGGGGTTGGACCAGACAACTTCCAGAGCCCCTTCCAACCTCAGCCATTCTGTGTGGTTCTGTGTTAGTATCTTCAGGTATCAACACCTGAGTGATTCTGTGGAAGCTTGGCAGGAATACAGTTTGGGCTTTTCTAGCAAGTGATCCTTGCTGAAATTAGTGGCTGAATAAATACTCTAGTACTAATTTTTCCAAACAAGCAAATAATACGATCATCTCTCTTTGCAAAAAGGTAACTTGCCAAGAACCAGCAGAGGCTAGTACTACAGCTAAGAACTCCTGCAGCCAATGCTGCAACTCTTAAATTGAAGAAGTTACACAATATCTGGAAGATGTTTTATATGAATGCTAAAAGAGAACAGATGTAATCGTACCTGATCAGATTAACATCCCCTACCTGATCAGATTAATAAAAACCTTGCCAGAAGATACTTTACATTCCAGAGATTCATAGCATCTGACTATTTCAAGACATTTAGCAATAAAACACTTGCCTATAAAACTTTCATGTGCCTCACTGTGTGATTTGTCTCTGTCTTCATTTTAACATTAACTGTTGTGCTACTTCCAGACATGGGAAAACAAAGGAGCATTTGCTGCCTTCTCTAAGAAACTGGGGCAGCCTCCACAACAAGCTGGGTATTAAAACTGTGTTGTCAAAAAAGAAAAAAAAAAAAAATTAAGGCTGGGAGGACAGAAAAAGCTCTGCCGCAAAAATAAGGCTGAGGGACTAAGAAATACAAATATGAAATGCCAGCCAAACCAGAAGTCACAGAAAAAGAACAAGATCCCATAAACAGAGAGGAAAAAAAGGAGCTGTCCAGAGGGAGAAAGAATTATCCTCCTAGGGCTCAGAAAGAAAGGAAAAAAAAGTCTCCATTAAAAATATGAACAAATACCTGTATACTGTTACCATAATTCTTCTTACCCATCTAAATAGCTTCAGCTTTAATCAAATATGGTCAAAGTGAAAAGACTGTTTTGAGCAGTTTTGTGTCACTCAACAATTGTTTGGAGAAGAGCAGCTGTACTTTCACTATGGGAAAGGGGACGGATTACATGCTCACGGATAAAATGCAAGTAAGATTTATTTTACCCTGCAAAAGTTGGGAACCTCCCAGAAATATAAGAAGGAATAATATAATGGAAGTTCTCAAAGAAGGCACAAAAAGATTAAAAAAGGAGATGGAAAGTAAAGAATGGAAATGTATGGAAGGAGTCAGATACCCTCCTAGGAAAAATAACCCATTTGAAAAGCAGAAGCGCTATAAACATCAAACAGAATAATTCACGTATTTCCAATCAGATATAGCTAAAGGCAACAAGAGTATTTTGAATGTGTCTAAATATTAAGAAATTCAAAATGCTGCTCTAGAAGGGTGTCTAATATTCAGCGAAAAGAATACCCAGAAACCTAAGTTTGATAATATGTGGAAACCAAAGCAAATGTTCTGCTAGTGAGTATTCACTTCAAAATCTTTCCAGGTATGGGACACAGTAAGTTAGGGCTGATTCAATTGGACTTTTATATCCAGAGATATGGTTTCAAATTTTATTTTTTGCAGATACCAAAATGCAAAAAATCTTGCTAGCTCCTAGATGTTTCAGCTTTATTTTAGTATTATTTTTTGGATGTAATTACTTCATACCAATTCACATAGCAAAGTAGGTGAGGTAGTGACAGATGGATTAACTTATATTTTAAGCATGAATGAAGATCTCTTACAGTGCTATCTGATACATAACTCTAAAATTAGAGGAAAGATTGGTGTGCAGAAGATTCCCTTTTGCTTCAGTTTTCTTCAGGCCTGAACTAGGTGATACCCAGAAGCAAACACTATGAACTAGTTGACAGACATAGGACAAGTAATAACACAACAGTTCAACGTTAAGACTAGCAGATTTGAGAACAAGTAGTGTTTTACCTCAGTGTTAGTAGGGTAAGGGAAAAAAACCCCTCATCTTTGTACAATGCTGGACGTGATTTCTGGTTATCCTGCTTTATGATGTATATGTATAACATGCTACTCAGAATAGTATAGTCTTGTTCCAAGAAACTTCACACAGAGTTATAACACGAAGGGAAAACAGCTACCAAATATGCAAGATAATTTTCATAAAAAGATTCGGATTCACAGACACATATGATGGAAGTTAACCATGAACCACAGAGACTGAAATCTGTAAGACTGTTGCAGTATTTTAGTATTTTGTGGAAAAAGCTTCACATGTAATTACAAATTGCAAGCTCTGCGTATCAATAGCATCTTCTATTACAAAAAGAAAATGACAAAAAAAAATCAGATACTACTTCTTAAAAAAATCCAGCATTTTAAAATTGAATCAAGTTACAGTTTTGGGTTTTTGGGTTTGTTTGGTTTTTTTGCCTTCTCTCTCATATGGTATTTCTAGTTTTTAACAGTTTATCATTTACAACACAAAAGTAGTATATGTAGCACCTAATTTATCATTATGTTCCAAGAAAATCTGCTTTTATTTAGTCCACATATATCAGCTTTTTATTCACCTCACCTATTAGATATCTAACAGTTTGAAATCAGTAAGTCATCTAGCTAAACTGTTTTACAAAGTATAAGTATTAACAGTCATCTTACGCATGAGGGATTGTAGTTTTGAAAATATCCAGCATGCAAGTACAAGTTTTATCCCAGATTTCTAGGGTAAACTTTTCACCATTTAGGATGACAACATTCTCCAAACAGTTTGTACCAGACCGTGCCAGTTGTTCATTGTCTGGAAAAGACAAACAGTGTATTTGTTTATTCACATTCCACACAGTAAAATGTTAACATTGTTTAACATAATTTGGTACAGTCCTACCTTGCTGCACACACCAGTACAGCTGTGCAAATATATCATCCAAAAGAACATCACTAAGTACTTCTAAATACTGCGTGAATACATCACATATTGCATAAAGTGCATGGTTGCAAGTAGTTGTCATCCATTCCGCTTTCTAGGAGAGGGAAAAAAAAAAGTTACAACTTTGTTTAAAGTGAAACTTTTAGGATACACATCCCTGCAGACAGGCAGATGTATTTATTTACTCAATTTGAATTGCTTTATAATGACATGAAATTCCTTTCTATATCTCAATATGCCCAAAACTTGGAGCCCTAACTTTTACTTTGCTAACTAGCAGGTTTAAAAAAACTACAGAAACAAACAACTATTCTTGGAGATCAGATTATATGACTGACAAGCACTTACCATCATGAGACACTGAGTTTGACATTAAACTTCACGTTGAACCCTAGCTCAGTAGTTTAAATCCAAGCTAAGCAGAACTTATTTCTTCTAATTGTGACTTCACTGCTGCTTACAAACTTCATTTCATTGAGCATATTGCCATGAAATGATATGTCTCAGGCTCCAGACATCATGTGTACAAGGTGCAGCTCTTTTTACAAATCTAGCTATGTTGCATTTTATGCTATTCTTCTGTTGTTCGTAGTGTAAACTACTAGGCCTTTTACATACACGGTTTAAAAAAAAAAAAAAAAAAAAAAAGAGAAAAGTGACATCCCTCCAACAGAATGCTAATAAAACAAAGTACAGTTACTAGAACCACATGGTCAACCATGCAAGTGTTCAGGTTTGCCTAACATCACTTGATAAGCTATATTACTAATCAGGTTTTCTACTATAAATATAGATTTCATGTAAATTATCTTCCCCCACTTTTTTCACCTCAGTCTGCTGTTCTGGCAGTTTCATGTTGTCAAATATCCTGAAGACAATTCGAAACAAATCTTGCCACCAGTGTTTTTCGTAAGTATGGCCATATGTCTTCATTATTTCAAACATTACTGTTAAGCCCCTGAAATGAAGAAAGAACAACATATATTAAGAGTTACACAAATACATGAACTAAACCATATATGTCCAACTACAATAGCAATAACAAACTCAAGTACTGTTAAGAACATTATACATTGATCTGATGTGGATCAGTCACACTAGTACACTAAAATTAAGTAGAAAATCAGTTTGTTTAAAAAACACTTAAAAGTCACAGTATTTTCACAGCCAGAAATACTTTAGAGAACTGTGGTAAATTCAAATTAAAATAGGAAAACAAATTCTTTACAAAGGACCACAAAAATAAAGTAACAAGTATTTCCAGGTAAGAAATACAGAGATCTAGAAACGAGTATTAATCTTCGCTAGCTATAAAGGGAGTCCAGATGCAGAGCTGGCTTGTAATGTGTAAATTTAAAACGATTTGTATACAACCTGCCATATTTAGCATCAGAACTGCAACAGAATACACTTCATACGGGAAAAGCCATAGGCAAGGAAAATAGGCAGGTTTTACATGAAATCAGAGTACAGCTTTGCTTTTTCAACAGTTTCTGCAATCTTCAATCAGTTCATGAATCATGGTGTAACACCAGTTTTAAAATCCTCAAAGTAACTACGAAGGGCAAGACACAGGAAGGCAGGCAGGACTCGTGTCATGAGTTTTAATTAAAACCAAAACAAGATTCCAACAGAATTTTGCTGTTGGAGTACCCTAAAAGAAAACCAACTCATTGTTCAACAGTTTCTGCAATCTTCAATCAGTTCACCAGTAACACCAGTTTTAAAATCCTCAAAGTAACTACGAAGGGCAAGACACAGGAAGGCAGGCAGGACTCGTGTCATGAGTTTTAATTAAAACCAAAACAAGATTCCAACAGAATTTTGCTGTTGGAGTACCCTAAAAGAAAACCAACTCATTGCATGGAGCATTTTACATTTGTTTTAAACAGAGCAAAACTGGAAATGTGACACAAGGCTTATCCAGGTGTCCTGGTTTCAGCTGGAATAGAGTTAATTTTCTTCCTAGTGGCTGGTATAGTGCTGTGTTTTGGATTTAGTATGAAAATAATGCTGATAACACACTGATGCTTTACTTGTTGCTAAGTAGGGCTTACGCTAAGACAAGGACTTTTCAGCTTCTCATGCCCTGGCAGTGAGAAGGCTGGGGGTGCACAAGAAGCTGGAAGGGGACACAGCCAGGACTGCTGATCCAAACTGGCCAAAGGAATATTCCATACCATATGACATCATGCTCAGCATATAAACTGGGGGGAGTTGGCAGGGGGGCAGCAATTGCCGCTCAGGGACTGGCTGGGCATTGATCAGCAGGTGGTGTTTTTCATTTGCATCACTTGTTTTTCTGGGGTTTTATTTGTCTTTTTGTTATTTCCCTTGTCATTACAAATATTATTATCATTGGCATCATCATCGTAATTTATTTCAATTATTAAACTGTTCTAATCTCGACCCACAAGTTCTCTCACTTTTACCTTTCCAATTCTCTCCCCCATTCCACCAGGTGGAGAGGGTGAGTGACTGTGTGGTGCTTAGTTGCCAGCTGGGGTTAAACCACAATACCAGGTCAACTATGACAAATGACTAAAATGAAATAAGTAACAGGGCCATATCATGGAATCAAACATCATACATTTATATTTACTAGTGAACAGAGAGGATCAGTATCGCCACTGGAAAAATACAGATTTGGATATTAATCCAATGTAATACCTTTTTTAAAGGGGGGGGGGCGGTTTAATGCATATGGACCATTTAAGAGTTGAGGTTCCACATTAAAATAATGCTTGCTTCTTATATGTTAGGAAAGTTAGAAGTTGACTTTTACATTTTACTGTGTTCTAGGCATGAACTGCCTCCATCACATCTGACTAAGTTGAGCTGAGCTGTTTTAAATAGTTTACAGCTTCTATAATAAATGGAAAACAGTCACTCATTTTAATTACTTAAGCTTTAATTTATTTGCAAATGAACTATTTAAATAGTTCTTACCTTTGCGATTTCATGACTATTCATCCTAAACAGGCACTATTTGAATATTTAAGGAAGTGTACTCTATTTAACATAATGCAATCATACCACATAACTTCATTATTTATTATAACAGAAGACAAACATTTCATATGTAAAGAACACACACTTAATTTCTACATTCCAGCATCTATTTAGAAGGTGCTTTAAAAAAGTCTGGTGTTCCCACAGTGGTATCACCTACATTAAATACGTTTTACAATGGTTACATTTACTAAGGGAGCTGTTTCTATTTTAAAAGTGTAAAGTAAGCCTTTTAAAATTTGAATTACAAATACTGATTGTTACCTGGTTCTTACATCTAATTTGCATCTATTGATGATACAGGACAACTCAAACAAAATTGGAAACCATCCTCGCACCCATACTCTGTCTTCAGGAGCTACATTCATATCATCACTTGTGTATTCCTTGAATGCCTGTAGAAGAAAACACAGGGTTATACAGAGTCGTAAGAGTTAGATTCTATTCTTCAAAATAAAACACAATTTGAACTGTAAATAACAATCTCTGCTGTACTAGTATTACACCCAGATACCTCAGGTGAGCTGGCAAGCAAAATAATAATACTGAGAAGATGAAGTGTTTTTCAAACTAATGCTTAGTATATTAGGAAAAATAAACTAAAAAAAAACCCTGATGAGATGATACGTTCAAGCATCAGTTTCCGCTTGCAGTTCAGTCAGAGACTCTTACTCTCTTTTTATAGAGATAGCACTGAAAGTGAGGATCTACCATAACATTTTGAGGATATCAAGCATTTCTGCTTATGCCATTATCCATTCTTCACAACTTTTCTCAGTAGAGAGCAGATCCTGAGACACACTGATTTCCAGCAGCTCTCAGGAAAGCTAGCCACTAGCTGACCTGCATGGATGGGGATGAGGGGGGTGTGGAAATAAAAGAAAAAAAAAATTGCTGATACTTTCAAAGCCTGTGGCATTTTATACTCCTATTGCTTCTGAATAAAGTACATTTCTCGTTAATCTCTGAAACTTGAAGGGAAGCCAATAAGGTTAGTGTACTTTTTTTCTTTATAAAAGCGCTGTTGATTAAAGCACTTATAATTTAGTTAATACAGACTATACCTGAGGTCTATCAGATACATATTTTGCACAGTGGCGAATGAGGCGGATCGCTTCCATACTGGTATCTGGAAATGCTGCATTGCAGGCAAATTCAGACAAGCACTTTACTGCATCCTGGAAAGAATCTATGGTTGCTGGGAAGTGTTTTTCAAACACAATTGCTGGGAAAAAAGTGTGAACAGAAGAAAAAAAGTGTCACAATTTAAAATTTATTAATTCTAATATGAACTGATTGTAACAGAAGTCATGAGAGCCTGGTTCATTGATTGGTGTTGTCAAATGCTTGAGTAGTAATAAAAACTAAAAAATGAATGCTCAACAACAACAACAAAAACATCACCTAGAGAGCATTCTATTTTGACAGTAAGTAAGTGTTTAAAATAAATCAAGGTAGCTTCTAGTCTAAAGGAGGGAAATCCATCAGATAAGCAAGAACAGAGCAATAGGCTTACTGCTTAACACTAGTCTGTTTGATCAGAGCTGAAGAGGGCTACATAAAGCACGGAGTTACATCTACAAAAGGACTTCCTCAGCAATATGGTCCTGTTGCCTTGATTTTAAATAGTCACTTTTGAGGACAAAAACATTTTTCATCAATCCTGAAAAAGTTTTAGGAACTTGCAGATCTTGAGACAGAATTAAGAGATCCCTTACAGAACTTAAAGCCTGAGATCTACACTAGAATGAGAAGGGAAAAAAAACCAACCCAAATCATAGTGCCACCAGGCTCAGCACGTTCTCCTAAACAGGGCCATAGACAAGCACAATTCAGAAAAGGAAAAAGAAAAGCAAACACATAATAGTAAAATGACTACACAATATTTTTTTCTGGGGGAAAAAAAATAAAATTCTTCACTTAAATGAAAATGTACACATTAAGTAAAATTATCTAAGGCTTGACTTGTTTTACTACAGAATGCTACAAACGTAATTTTTTTTTAAAGAGGCAAAAATGAAGACAGATAACTATAATCTTATTGAATTATTTTCATAAGTATTTTCCCAGATGATTGGTTGAAAAGTGTAAAACCTTGGTTCTAAAGCATAAAGTGGGCTTTACTATGCAGGCTGCAGAGCCAACAGACAAACAAATCTCAGTCTCTGGAGCCACATACACTTTCACGATGTCTGAATATCGTCAATACTCACTGACAATGTGACCTGTAGTCTGGAATGCAAGTTCCACTATACTTTCATCCTGATCTGAGGCTGCCAGATGAAATACTGAAAAAATGTTTTTCCAGCCAGAACGAATGTTAGCAGCCTGGGAATTTACCATCTGTGCAATACACCGTACAACCATGTCTCGAATAGTAGGAGACCTAAATTAAGATAATAAACAATAATTGTTTAAACTAAATTACATAATCAATTAGAATAGTACAATTCTCCAGCAAATGATTTTACAAAAGCAATGTGAAACATTAATTACAAAAGTTGGTGCTTATGATCCCAGGTGATTCAGTTAACTATATGTTATTACCTGTTTCTCTTCATGATATGTTCAAACGGTCTTAGGAAGTCCTTCTGGAATCGGAAATTAGCAAGTTCTCCTTTTTCTAAGAACTTCATTGATAATTGCCTTAATGAGTCTACTGCAAAAATAGCTACATCTTCATTGGGATTGCAGCCAACCTGATAATGTAGAATAGAAACGCATAGTAAGCTTGCATCAGAATTCTTATGAATTCAGCCCAAGTTGCCTTTACATTTGATAACGGAGAACTAAGCACACTGTTAATGCAATTCAATAATCCTTAACCAATTCCAGCTACTTTCTACATTATACATCCTAGCATTTACAATTTTCTAAAGCAAGCTGTCTACAAAGACTTCAACAAGCTGTAATAAAAATGCATGTCAAATATTCACCTGATAAACAGTCAATTTAGACTTGAACAGAAAACAACATCTTATCCCAAGCTTCATAAAACACCCCCAAAAATTAGAAAACATAACTAAAGGCAGCCAGTTCTAGACCCAGGGCACGATAAATAATGTATACTCCTGGTTTTACATGTATTATATTGTGTACCTCTGCCTTCTCACAGGCCTTTCCAGCTTTACAATTTTTGTTGTGTTTTAAGCTACTTGTACAGAAGACAGAAAAACCACTATAATTCAGATGAGCACATGCTTTTCTAACAGATCTCTAAATAAAATTTATTTGTATTGATAATCCAAGGAGTATGCAGTATAACCTTTAAGAGGGATACCTTATTAAAATGATCTCCAATAACTTCCCAGATTCTAGACCACTGTAGCCTTATCCGGCCCATGTTGTAGTAAGAAATCTCTACTATCTTCTGCAGACTAAACATTCGAGGGTGGGTGGCAGACAGCAGTTCATCCATAGATACAGCACAAAGCCAGCGAACGAAATCCACTGTTAAATGACCACAGATTTTAATACAATATTTTTCCAAGATTTAAGACAAAGTTGCTTTTTAGTTTATGGGGAGGTGGGGCGGAAGATAAAACCTACCAATAGCATTTCCATCCAACCTTGTAGATCCCGTAAATATTCTGTAAAATGCAGTTTAAGACGTGGTTACAATTTCTTAAAAAAGCATCTATTAAACATGTATTCAAGATTTTTTAAATAATATATACAGACAACACCTGACTACTTTTCTTTATTAAAAAACAGTTAGTAATTGTGGAAAAATATTGAACTTTGAAAATAAAATCAGACATAGTTCAATTATTTCTAGTATTTAAAAATAGCTCCCATAAGCATGCGTGGAAACTGGGAGGTGCATTGTTTCTAATACTATCTACTCATTGACAGTGACTGATGAATAATGTCAGTAGTTTACAAACAATTCAGTCTTGCTCCAAATACAGAAGTCAAACTTCTCCAGAGTACACAATTCCTATTTGCCTTGAAAAATAGATACCTGAAACACTTCCCATGATGAAGTGGGGAGAAATACTGCAAACCTAAAGAGCTATTGTGTGTTTGACATTAAACCTCCAGTTCACTTTATGTGGTTTTACTGCAATGCAACTTTCATTGAACTGACATGGATCTTGCTGCCTATACTCAATCCCAGAAATGCTTGTAAGTCCTCAGAATGATACCCCTTTGTGATTGTCATTTTTGACAACCATTAAGAAAATCATGTTTTCTGATTTCTTATATGCTGAGAGAGCAAGATCCATTAACACTCCAGTCTGATCAGTACTTTAGGATATAAACAGGGAATGTGTATGATAATTTCTTTCTAACACCTAACCTAAATCTACCCTCCTTTAGCTTAAACCCATTACCCCTTGTCCTATCAATAGGTATTGATACATGTATTATACCTGATCAAATCCAGTTATGACAGATATGATTCATAGAAAGGAAGACTAGAATAAGAATTTTGGTAATTTCAGACAACATCTACATAACCTAGAGGAAAGCAGGAGTCAGTAATCACATTTAGGAGAAAAAGGGTCTGTCTATAATGCTGCCTGTACTAAGGCAAGATGAGATTTGCTATGTGTTACTATATATAGCAAATCAAGATCCTCCGGACAGTACAGCAGTCTTCATTCTGCAACTGCCCTGTAATCTCAGTAAAAAGCCTTCTTGCCTGATCTTTGTTCTGTTCCTTCTTACAAAAATACTTCTGCTCCATTAAAAAAAAAAAAAGGAAAAAACCCACAAAACTGAAAAGCACTTTAATATGGTAATATTTATGCAGTTTTTTGAAATATGGCTAAACTAATAATGTCCTATAATTAGCACAGGGTATTCAAACATTGCTTAAAAAGCTTCAGGTGGCAACAGCAAATTTAATACAATACCTGTCTACAGCAACGACAACACTTTGGGAGCTAGTTTCACCAATGGATTCCTGAATACTTGCTATCTGCTTCCAATCCACGTTTCCACCAACTACAGTGAACAAAATATGAAAAATGGGTAAGAGATAACACAGAAAGGGCTGGGAAGAAAGAGGAAGAGAAGTCATGCCACTACCACTATAATTAAATATATTTTTAATTCACAAAAAAGAGAAGTACATTAATAAATTTCCCTTGCATGAGCTGGGCATCTCAGTGAACAGTTGGATGTTGGTCTAAGTCCTTAGTCTCTAGATTCTCCATCCATGCATAAACTATATTAGTCCTACATTTGGAACAATTGTATGAATAGATACAAGTGAAAAAAAATCAAAAGCACAAGAACCACCTTTTTCTCTCCATCTTTCAATGGATCTTTGGTAATTCTGCTACTGAAAATACACAACATATGATACAGAATACCAGAGAACTTTTCACAATTTATTAGCAGCAAGTGAGTAAATCCATTCTGATAGGTTTTATTTTAATCATTCACAGAGAAGAGCTCCCACCAAAACTCCATCTTAAAGCTACATCTCAAGTACAGCAAAATTATCACCTAGCAATAGTTAGAAAAATCTATAAATAAAAATAGCAGTATTTATTTTGTAGGCTAGGAACTGTAACACACACCTGAGAAAGCTCACATTAAGAAAATGCTAACTTCACAGTGAAGAAATTTCTGAAATTTCTGGCAATCTCTAAGTCCCCTCCATCAAAAAAAGAGCAGAAATCTTGCAACTGTTCTGAGTAATTCCACCTACCCTGTTTTCAGGCTGCCTAAGAAAAAAAACCCTATCAGAAAGACAGGGGAGAACAGAAGACTGAAAGAAGGCCAGCAGTTCTGTTCTTAGAGCTTTGCAGAGACAAAAAGTTCTCATGTTTCAGACTGCCTCCCAAAAGTCTGCCTTTGAGTCTTGCATACTTGGAGGTAGCTGGAGATGACTGGCTGTCAATTGACCTATCTGAAGTATTTTTCTAAGATGTTTATGGAGTAACCTTTCAGTATATACATATGTAACCTTATACTTATTTCAGTAACTTCTCATACTGTCGGGTTTGACCAAGCCTTCTCTTGTAAGCACACAAGCTGCCAGTATCAATTAGTTTGAATCTTGGTAAGGCATCAGCTAGGAAACGTATCAAATGAGCAGCTGTGTGAAGTGAATTTGAAGGGCTGTTTCAACAATTCAGGTAACCCTAACCAACTCTGCCAGTTTACAGGAGAATTACTTGTTATCATAGGATTTATAATCCATGTTGGAAAACCTAAACAGACAGCAGATTCATGAGATCTTTTACAATGAAACATGCTTTATGAAAAACTGATTCCTCAGATTCTCATTGTCCAAAGAGGATTTCTGGTTACCTAAGTGCACTTTGGCTATGACCTACTCACAGCTGCAGATGTTGTCTTCCAACTTTGTGAACAGAAACTAGAGTAGAAGAAAGCAGAACTTCACAGTTACAACTCCAAGGAAGACAACATTCCTACCAAAGCAGCAAAGGAATAGATGTTTATTCATTTACTTTTACAAACCACATGCTTGTGATGCCTTGCATTTCAAATAAAACAAACAAGGGCCACAGCAGGAAGATAATGCAAGAGTGATGAAGACATTCAAATGTAGATGCCTGAAGAGCTATACCTGAATCCTTGTTCAGGCAGTAAATGAGCAAAGGGGATTTTGGGGTGGTTTGTTGTTTTTAAAAACACACACTTTAACTTCAGCAAGGATGAATGCTGCTGCTTATGCACGTCTCATTTTGCAAGTAGGTTTGAAAGATGAAGCTTGTTGCCAGACTGCAACTTCACTTACTCCAATTAAACAATTTTTTTTGCTGTAAAATATGCATCTGTATATATGGACATATGCACTATGGGTTCTTCATAGGAATTTAGGTTTATAGGAAGGTTGCTCAAAAGCCATAGTTCCACAGGATACTTCAGAGTGATCACAGAAAGAAAATTAAAGTATCTGCAACAGAGGATTTTTAGAGAAGAGTGAAAAAACTAAAACAGTTGAGAAAATGGCTATGTTTTAGCAGCCCCCAAGTGTACGACAACCAAATTTCTTTGAGTTAGGCATTTTTCTATAAGATTGAAGTGATATTTAAAAAAAAAACAAAAAAAGGTTAAGTTTCTGTATGGGCACTGTAACAAGCATTCCAGAAACTCAATTCAGAGAGAAACATTTTATGCATTTGGGCATAGACTATTTTCCTTAGAAACGTAGTTGATGGAGGAAAAAAGCCTTTATGAGCTGGATCTACACCAATGACTAGCAAGTATGATTTAGAGACACCTGACTACAGTTTACATTCCTGAGCTATTAGGACTTAAAAATTTTAAAAGCCAGTCACTTCAGCGTAGAGAAACTGCCAGCATTTGGAAATAGCAAAGTTGGATAGGTCATTGGGGAACACTAAAACTGGAGGATGCATATTAGAAGGGCAGGAAGAAGCTCAGTATATGAGATGTTGGCAGCTGCATTAATTTCCAGGCATAAGGTTTCCCTTCAGCAACTTTTGGCAAGGTGAGGGGAGTACATAGAGGCAGGCCAAAGGAGAGCACAATGGAAAGAAAAAGACTGACTGCAGAATAAGAAAAACTGTCTGAGGAGAACACAAAGCCAGATGATTAGGACTAGTTGAGTGCTAAGGTCAAGGAAACTAATAAATTAATCATTACTTCTCAAAAAAAAAAAAAATTACATGAAAAATTGAGGGAACACAAAGCTTTTGCTCAGCTGTGAGTGAAGTTATTCAAAAGGCAGGAGATCGTAAGCATCATACTAAAACTGAAATTTTCTAACAGTCAAATGGAGTTATGTATACTTCCTTGACACTTCCATAGTTTCCCAATACCCTACACCTGTATGTCTTTAACTGCATTCCTATTTAAAAAAAAAAAAAAAAAAATCAACCTTTTTAAGATAATTTAAGGTAAGACCGGTATACTTTTCCAGGAGGATAGGAAACAACATCTCAGTTATGGAGCAAATTTTGGCACTCAGGCTAGCCTAAAAAAGGCACTTTTATTCAGTACCAAAGTAACCAAAAAAGGAGGAAACAAGATTTCAGAATTTAAGCCAACCTAATATTCCACTTGGTTTGAATACCATGTATTTCTTACAAAGTTTCATAACAGGATGCTTAACCTACACATACTAAATTCGCCTGTTTGGTAAAATACTTGGTGCACTAACATTGAAATATTATTAAATCTGGTCATACCATCAGCAATCCATTCTTACTTGGTCAGCTATATTTTAATAGAAATTAATAATGTAACATTTTCTTACATTTCCCACTCTCCCATCCTAGCAATAATACTTAACAGAGCAAAACAAATATTCCAGAAATAGGAATAGGTCTCTTCAAAGCCTAAGACAGTTTACAAGGACTACTTCATGGTCTTATCTCCGAACCTCACAGTCAACAATAATGAAATCAAAGGACAAACTTTAATATCTGTCTGAACAAAGCCAGTTAAATGAAATACTTCATATCTGCATTACTTACCCAGTCCCAGCCCCACAAATTCATCGGGTGCCTGATCTTTTGTTCCAGTAAAAGAACCTTCCCTGCCACGCACTGTCCCTGAGATGTAGCGAGGTTTTACTCCAGTTCCTATTAACTGTGCCAGTTCAAGTTGACTGATACATTTCAGAATCTATTCCAGAGAATAAAGACATTGTTTATCAACAAAAAGCAGTTTGAAATAGCACAAAAATAAAATAAAAAATTAAAAAATTTAAGGCAGATCTTTAGAAGAAAAAAAATCCCAAACACTCAAGGTCAGACAAGTATGTCTGTTCTTCTGTCTAAAATTAATATTAATTTAAATACTATTAGTGTCTCGCAATAAACATCTCACTTGGACATGTTTTGCTACTTTAATTGGCTGAATAATGTGCAATTCTACATAATGTATGTATAAAAGTATATACTTGGCACTTACCTAAAACTCACTGTATTTATGCACAAACAAGTACACTACTGTGTTCAAAATCAGTACACACGCTTTCTTACAGTACGAATACAAATGACTCTTGTACCTCATGCCAGGAATTTCCTAAATAGTTTCCATCTGTATGAGCCACCGTGATGAGAGTTTTAATTGTGTCAATATTCTTCTGCTTCATTTCAGTAATACCAGAACTCACTGTAAGTAATGTAAATCTTGCTAATGCTTGCACATAGGCATCTCTTTCAAGCTATAAATGGGAGAAAAAAAATAATAATAAAGTTGTCTTGTAAGTATTTTCTCACTTTCTTGTTCTTAGTACAATCTGTGTGATTTCAGCAACTATATTGTTTACCTTTCTCTTACTAGAACTGAACTTCCAAAGCATTCTACATAGCAAAAATATCTCACGTTCTTCTGTAGTAAGCTGTGGGATAAAATTGGACTCTTTCTATTCAGGAACATGAAGTGTAATGCCTGACAGCACAGAACACATAGGCTGTTGTTAGGTTTCTGGGTTTGGTCTTTTTGGATTTTGGGAGGGCTTTTTTGGGAAACAGGATGCTGTTTCAGAAGAAATACAGCTTCTTAGCTAAGCTTTTACTATTCTTGTACTATACCTGGACCTGCTCTGAAAATGCTGCCTTATCAGACTCTCTCAAGTTGTAGGATTTTTTTGGCAACAGAATCTAAATAATGTATCTAAAAGGCACATTTTGCCAATTCCACAATACTGGTCAAAACGCATTTGATTTCATAGAATCATAGAATAGGTTTGGGTTGGAAGGGACCTCAAAGATCATCTAGTTCCAACCCCCCTGCTGTGGGCAGAGACACCCTCCACTAGACCACATTGCCCAAAGCCTCATCCAACCCGGTCTTAAACACTTCCAGGGGTGGGGCCTCCACAACCTCTCTCATTTATCTATGCTGTTTGGAACACCTCAGAAGCTTGTGAGGTGAGACTGTCATCAGTGGGTAAACAGCAAGTCATGTATAATCTAAGCAGATTAAATCAATCTCACAAAAAAGAACGTTCCACATGTAGGTGGAAATGTTTTGTACATTAAGTAATTAAAAACAGAACCTTTAATTGAGGTTTCAGAGGTGAGCATGCATAGCTTAAACTATATGGTGTAATTTGGGAATTTTCTTAAAACAAAAAGCCTCCAGCTCCCTCCATTATCTTTCAAGGTGTGTAAAGTAATGTTAACTCTTCTTAGACACCAGTCTTAAATTCTGTATGTTTATTCAATGAAATAGAAAAGTTGTCAGCATCAGTTAAACACAAGAGGAAAAACTTGCTTCCAAGAGAAAAGATCCCTAAGTCAGCTCAAGTACAGATTGACCAGTGTCCTTCAAACCACCAGAACTATCCGGCATCTGAAGTCAGACAACACTGCCATCTAATCAGGGCCTTGTGCAATGGAAGCACCCTGTACCGTACTGAAATCATCAACAAACCAGTATTGTTTTTAATGACATCAACAAAACAGAATTCCCATAGGAAACCAAGAAGGAGTATCACTTATTCTGAAAATACAAACCCAAGTTTTTAAATTTCAGCAAATGAGAAGTGTTCTTTTTTGAAACATTTCCAGTTCAATCAAGTTTGTGCCAAGCCAATGGAAGGGTATGACTGATTCTGGTACATTCTCGGAGCATGGAGATCTTCGAGCAAACATGTCCTTACCCTCCCCACCTAAGGCAGACCATTGCAGGACTGGGAGCTAACCTCTGCAGCTGCTGAAACTGATATTTGTACCAGTCCAACTTTTGCAGCTTAGAAACAAAAATAACAGGAATGTGAGCTTCATTGAACAGCTGCAGGCTCCAGGGGAGGTTTTCTTAATCAAATTTTTAAGTCTGTTCAGTTCGGGGGACACACACACACACACACGGAATGAAGTGGAAAGACAGAGGAAGAAAACCTTACATGATCTCAAATGAGCTTTTTGAAGCAGCTGTATCAGAGGTCCCAATGTGCCCTTCCACATTAGTGATAAAGTTATCTAATTTGCTGAATACAAGTGCAAAGGAAGAGGGAAGCCAAGCATTCATTATCACATCATAGTTCAATAGTTTTTACTTAGTCTTACAAGATTGTTGGTTCTTTTGAGTGTTTTGGGGTTTTTTTCAAATGTTTTCAATGTACACATCAAATAATGTAATGTCAAACATACAAATTTGGCTTGCCCCTCTCTTCAGCTATCCCTACAATGGATTTAGGGCAGACCAGTAGTCCATTTATTAACTAATAGTCCACAATAACATAATAGTAAGTTCACTACTGATGATTTTAAAATGGGGAAAAAGAAGGCAAAAAAAGCACCCAAGTTTAATCAGAATTACCCTCTGGAGTCAGACAGTCTGGAATTCTTGGCATTCTGCTTAATGCAAGATACATTCATACATTACATCAGGAATAACATTTCCAGTACCATAACTGTTAAAATGGTATCCAATTATAGAAGTCTCAGATTAGTATAATCTCTCTGAAGTTGAGAACAATATTTCAAACACAGTTCACAGAGATACGATTTTACTTATGAAACAGGATAGAAAGACTCATTTTATGAAACATCACAACGCTAAACAGCTTTGTAACAAAGCTAGAAAGAAAGTACTTTGACATAAAAGTAGTCAACTTGTGGGCAAAACAAAAATTCAGTACGTTGGCATGGCAGCACTTACCACAAAACACCAAGAAAAATAAAGGTCACTTCATTTAGAACACTTTAGTCAAATATCAGATGAAGTAGTAATTGCAGGGGCAGGCAGTCTCTAGGTATTACAGTGCATAGCTTCAGCAACAAGGACTCTTAGAACCTCACTAACATTTCACTCATACATAAATCAGAGTATTGTCTCAATCTTAAATTTTTTACCTGAATGTTGAAAATGCAAGCAATCCTGATTGCACATCGTATACCCTCCAAACAAAGAGAGGCAACTTCTGTGTCATCACAGTCCTGTAGACCCACACTGAATGCAGCTAGAAAAGGCGTCCATGCCAACTGGAACACATTCAAAATAAAAGTTACATTAGCAACTGTTAGTACTTGAAGGGAATATTATAGTTTCAGCATCGTGCTAAAGTGTAAATTCCATCCCTAACTCACATCATTAACCTTGAAGTTGCTTTTTGCCAAAAAGGAAATGGAATAGAATAGACATGAGTCATAGAATAGGACAGAAGTAATGCAGATTGATGCTTACACACACACACAAGCACAACCATCTTCAGATAGCTGCAAAAAAACCAAACCCCAAAGCTATGTCAGTTAGATGTCTGTTGGAGTTTTGGCACTCCTGGAATAACCTTTATCTTTGCACAGTGAGAAATAAAGATAGAGCCTATAGTTATTGCAAGAACCAGTGTATAACAGATTGCTTTATGATGAAAAGAATGTACTTAAATAAGACAAGTTTCTCCTGAAAACACCAGAAGGAAAAAAAAAAAAACCCACAAGTAGGGTAAAATAGGGTAGCAACCATTATTAATTCCACTAAAATTATGGTAAGATAACAACAATAAGAGACAGGACATGACTCTTCCCTTGATCTCTCTGCTCTTAATTTTGTTGCCCTTAGCACTCCACCTTTTTTTATCTATGCCACTGTTGATGTTTCCCATTCCTCTTGCTTTAGGTGGGACCGAGAGTGTAATACACTCAACCGCAAATTATTGCGGGAGAGTCCACATGGTCCTGCCCTTGTGGTCAAGGATCCCTCTCCACAGGGTGAAAAACTCATCAGAAGATGCAGGGGATCCTGCCATAACTACACATGGTTATGGAGAGGAAACTCCAGGGTACCCAGAATGATTTTAGAAATAATTTTACCTGAAGTCACCCAAGATGAAATACAGAATCAACAGGCACAGCAGGGAGCAACAGATTTCACACTTAATTTAATAATAAAATGATGCACCACAGAGCTTTGGTTTCACTGAAGTCAGCAATTCCAAAAGCACTAGCTCGGAAAAGCATTTAACACTTGCACACACCAAACCATAACTCTGAGACAGTATTAAAGGCATCAGATGAATTTCTACATCCAGGACTTAATTCCCTATTGCATGACCTTTAAAGGTCCCTTCCAAACCAAACTATTCTATGATTCTATGCTCCAGAAGTGTATGTTGCTTCTCCCTCCCCTTTTCTAATTTTTCATTCTTACTGAAACCAAAACTAATCTTCAAAATCGCAAAACTGAAATACTTTCTTAAGAACTACCTAGAAATCTGTATGGTATGCTTTCTAACTAGATTTACGATGTCATTTATAATAGATTGTTTTGTCATTAAAGGTGAAAATTAAGCCTCTAAAATAGACAATTTTCAGCTGCTTTGGTGGGCCATAAAGTGAATTTTTGTTCTGGTTTAATCATTTAACAAATCTGTCTGTAAATATAATGATAAATTTTATGCTGGCATCAATGGGTGAAAGAGATACAAAAAAAAATGATAAAGTTTTGCTGAAATAAAAATTAAGTCTAAATAAAAAATGTGAAATTAAATATTTAACTTCCACAGTTCTCACTTTTTTGAGAAGACAGCTCTCTGTTCAACATATTACATTGCCCTCAGTACTTTAATTAGTTTATGAACATCCTCGAGTAGGAAGGCTTCTAAATCATAGCACCTTCACAAAAGACGTTGAGGGTGTTAATTTACCCTGATGTTTCATATTTTACTCCTTTGAAAATGGATTTTTCAAATATACTTTTCAGACACTACGGGCTAGGAATGTTATAGAGTAATAGGGCTGGTATTTTAAGGAAAAATAGTCTATGAATTTTACAGATGCCTGCATGCAAATTATTTCATTTCAGCCTTAAAGTCAGAGAGAAATACGTACAGTACACCTCTGTTAAGGGACATCCTGATAACCTGAAAGTAGATCTTAAACAAGGGCTTCTTTTGTGTTATTCTGTACAAAGACAAGCACTATCGTATTTTGATTAATATGGCAATAAAGACCTCAGAAGTTTGCCTCATGGACAGCAACCTTACAGCTAGATCCTCAGTGTGCCCAGGTGGCCAAGGCAGCCAACAGCATCCTGGCTTGTATCAAAAATAGTGTGGCCAGCAGGGCTAGTAGGAAGTGAACATCTCCCTGGACTGGACACTGGTGAGGCCACACCTCGAGTGCTGTGTTCAGGTTTGGGCCCCTCACTACAAGAAAGACATTGAGGGGCTGGAGCGTGTCCAAAGAAGGGCAACGAAGCTGATGAAAGGTCTAGAGAACAGGCCTTATGAGGAGAAGCTGAGGGAACTGAGGTTGTTTAGCCTGGAGAAAAGGACACTGAGGGGACACCTTATCACTCTCTGCAACTACCTGAAAGGGGGTTGTAGCCAGGTGGGGGTTGGTCTCTTCTCCCAAGTAACAAGACAAGAGGAAACAGCCTTAAGTTGCACCAGGGGAGGTTTTGGCTGGATACAAAAGGGTTCACAAACCCTTCACAAAAGGGTTATCGAGCATTGGAACAGGCTGCCCAGGGAAGTGGTTGAGTCACCATCCCTGGAGGTATTTTAAAAGACGTGTAGATGCGGTTCTTAGGGACATGGTTTAGGGAGTGCTTAGGGACATGATCTTAAGGATCTTTTCTAACCTAAATGGTTCTATGATTCCTGAGTCTGGGCCTGGAGTAATTGTAATGGTAGTGGTCTGAGACCACCATACATTGTAATGTATTGTAATGGTAGTGGTCTGAGACTCTACTCCCTGCAGCAGTTCACGAAGGGGTCATATGAGGACCACTACTTGCACAAGGGCAGCAAATGAGAGCACATGTTAAGGACACAACAATTTATTTCAGTGGCAGTTAACTGTAATGAGTTAGTTATGCCAAAGAGCATATCCAATAGCACACTGATGCATACTCTAGATCTGCAAATCTGAATTAGTGGTATGGAAAAGGCATTTGGGATGCAGAAAGCTTTGCACCTACACAGTAGTGAATACAGGTGTTTAGAATAATGGTTTAATACAGGTCCAGCTACCTCCCCCCAAACTAGATGACAGCCCTAGTCTTTCTGAAATATTAACTTGCAACAGACAACATTAGACAGAAGTTTGTTCTGATAATTGCTCCACCAAAATGCAATGATTTCCCTTAGAAACAGCAGGAGGGACTCAAACAATGAACTGGGATTAGTAATTTCTCACTTTTATAAATCTGTTGATGTGACTACACCTCTATACCTGAAATAAAAATCCTATCATTTCAAGTTTTTTAAATACTGTTTATACTGTTGTCCCCTCACCATTCTCCTCATAACTCGTCCATTATATCAAGATGCTGTTTCTATCAGCATAGAAACTTCTTAAATCCCAGGGTAAAACAAACTGGTGTAGAAGGTTCAAAATCCCTTCTTTCCTGCAGCAAGTTAAATAACTTACGAAATGATCAAAACATAGCAGACACAAATCTTCACTATTTTCAACAAATCCTGTCTGTCAGTATTTTGTATTAAGAAACTATTAGATATTTACCTAGAATATCATAACATGTATCTCACCTTAAACATGGGTCTTACATGCTCCAGGTGTGTTGCACTAGTAAAAGGTGCCTGAACATGGCTCACTGCCTCCATAAGTGCTTTAGCTGTTTTAGCCATTTGTTCCATCTCCAAATTATATAGGAGTCTTCTCTGCTTTTCACTAGCAACACCTGTAAAGATATTTTTTCCTCTCATTTGTGCATCTTTATCAGTGGTGTCTTCAGGAATACAATGATTTAAAAATTTTCATTACATGCGACACTCAGATGCCTTTTTTTTTTTGTATTATGTTTACTTTCTGAAATTACCAGACCAGCAAGATATTTCTTTTACAGTATAAAATTTAACTTAAGGGAAACTTATGTATAAAATATAACCGAATATTAAACCTTTACAGAATTTTAAGATTTGCACAACAGACATTTCTTCTCCATCACCTCAACTCACAGCATAAATATCACATCCACTAAGCTAAATTCAAAGTGAACAGAAGTTTCATAGTAATCCATCAGCATAGAAAAACAACAATAAGTGGACACCTTTTTTCTGAGGGACAACTACCTTAATCACCTTTTCGTTTCAGTAACAGAACCTCCATTTCATCAAGAAAGTGAAACCCAGGTAGAGTGTAATAATCAGCTTCTTTAAAATTACAATAAAAACATGATGTTAATTGAATGAATACCGAAAGTCAGAGGAATTCTTTTTTCCAGATGCAAGTTGCCTGTAAGCAATCTGTTCAAAAGGCTAATCTAGGACTTAAAATTATACAAATTTGACTACATTGGGAAAAAGTTTCTCAATGCTCTCTGTAGAAAAGCTAGAATGAATAACATCTGAATCTTCAGCTGTGCAAAACACAAAAAAAGTTTTTCTAGTATTTGAGAGAGGAAAAGATAATTAATTTTAAAAGTGCATAAAATAGGGCCTTACAAACCAAATAACACAAAATTTTTGAAGATGAGAGGCTGGTTATTGCAGGAAAACACAACAGCTACCTTAGAAATAGAAGGCACAATTACTGTGTTTGTTCCACAATATGCTTATCAGCAACGCTGTTCCTTCATAAAGCCCTCAAATGCATTTCCCTGTGTTGCTGTTCAACAGCAAAACTTGCCTTCTCCATGGTCAATGCACTGACTACCAGGAATTCAGATGCAAAGGGAAGTGAAAATAAGCAGTTGCATTTAACACAGATTTGAAGGTAGCATCATGCATTTATGTTAAAAGGAAAAGGATATGAAATTAGAAGTTAGGACTCATTTTGAGTTAAGTAAGTGGTGCTTGCTTCATTCATCTCTCGTTTTAAAAAGGAGATAGCTTCATGAGACTGAAGAGCCAACACTTTGAAGAAAGCCAACGTTGCAACTACTTACTTTGTTTAGTGGATTTTGTGGGTATTGTTAATTCTTTTGTTTCTTTCATTGAAATCTTCTTTCCAGCTATTTCATTATAGATAGCAGACAAGTATTCTTCAGGGAGATCTTTACTATCATTGATACCTCTATTCATTTTAATATACTGTTCTTTTGTCATTTTATTCTTAACCTGAAACCCAGAAAGAAGCTATTAATATCAACAAATGAGGCAAGTTCATAGCAGTTACAATGGTGCTATAAAGCAGCCAAACATGAAGTGGACATCAAAAAAGGTTTGTCAAGACCATCAAGGATAAACCTGCTGATTCAGAAGACATTTTAAAGTATGCAACATATGCAAGACTACACTGTCAAATCTTCAAAATAATGCAAGGCCATGTGGATATTATAACACTCAAAAACATTCAGTAGGATCTGTAGATCAATTATACATACATTACCAAAAAAAGGAAGTGGTTTATCTTGTCATACAAACCAAGCTGTCTATTTTAAACATAATCCCATAATCTCATACAAGTTCAATACTCTTTCGTGATTTTGCTTAAATAAATGATGGCTAATCACTGCAACTTTGAATATTATGCACTGCAGAAGTCAGTTGTATTTATCAAAAGAATACTGCATCATTTTTCAAACAGATTGAAATCAGGAGCAGATCTGTGTTAAAATCAATGGGTAAGCAAATACACAAGTTCTGGCTTTGACTGTAGGTTAGATCACTACTGTGAGTGCCATAATATGAAAGCAGATTCACACAACTCCTATTCAACACAGAGTAGGGAACAGAGTACAGAAAGGTCTAACCAAAACAACCAAAAAAATCTCAATGTCCATGAAGCACAGCACTGTTACTTAAAAGATGCACAAGTTTAACCTACTGTATTTCTTATGCACATATTGGCATTAAATTGAACATCAGGCTTTTACAACTACACTGTCACAAAGCCTGGAAGTTAGATGTCTATGGATTACACAAATATTTTTCTAGCAACATACCTGTGGGCTGTGAAGATCTGTCGTCAACATGATAATTGAGTAAGCTAAAACATATGCAGTATCTGCACTAGCAAAAAGTGTTTGCCTGAAGGGGAAAAGTAGAAAAAGAACAGCAAATTTAACATATTAGGATTTTTTTACTTATATAATTCAGCTTTCCAACGTTCTGAAGACAAAGCATGGCTTACCCTTGGTTACATTCTAAATATCTAGCAGCAAATTTCTCCATTAGGCGATCAATTTTTTGAGCCTCTCCTGGAAGACGAAAGCCCTCTAGAAACATGCGCAGAGCTGAAACAAAATCCTTTCCTGAAAAGTCGTGCTGGTCTACATACGCATACATGACTTCTTTGTTAAATTTATCGTTGTCTCCCAGGAACTCCCCAACCTGAGTCTAAGATAAGAACAGAAAAGACAAACTAGTGCATCGACACTGGAAAAAAAAATCAGCAAATAAGAACAACAGAGTAATACTGCCCATATATCTCACCGAGAGGCCTGTATACTTAAGACATACTCCTGCTTCTCCTCCACTCTCTAAAGCAAAGTATTTTGGTCACATATTCCATCATAATGCTCTTACATGCTCATATCTGCCTACTTTCCTCTTTCTCTGGTTTTACTCATGTACCATTCTTTTCTATTAGATGAATTCCACATGTGCACAAGACAAAGTTGTAATACTACAAATGACTGACTGTTCTCTGGTGTAATGATTTTTGTAGTTAGGAAACTTACTACAGGAATGAAAAGCTTACTACACTCAACTTTATTCCCATTAAAGTACAGATCTCAAATATATGCAAGCAATGCTCAAATATAAATAGGTGGTACTCAAATACATCCAAGCTGATCACTGTCAATGCAACACAGTACAGTGAAAAATACTGTGTGTTCAGATAAAGATGCCTGCATATGTAAACCAAGGTTAAAAATTTGTTTTGGTGACTGATTCTAATACTGAAATTTGTGACTTCAGTCACAGCTGCAAGCATGGGCATATGCAAGCCTTTCCTCAGGAAACGGGTGGCTATTAAGCACAATGGTGCAGACTGTCTTATCAGAAAGCTAAGTTCTTCATGACAATACCAACATGAGATACTCCTATCCTCCTCAGCCAGTTATTGCAGGACCCTTCCAAGTCCAGCAACAGCTGCCAGCTGTAAATAAAACCAAAATACTAATCTACATTAAATAACTTTCCTTTGGGAGGCAGCAAAAAATGCTTTTCATGTGGTTGCACCACGTTATTTTTTAGCTGTCTCTGAAGGACAGTTACTTAAGGCAGTCCCTTATTGGACTAAAGTTGAGTAAGTTGCTTCTAGCTATACTAGCAACTAAGTACAAGTTTTGAGTCAGCTCGAGTAGGCCAGTCTTTCCTTTACACTTTGCTGAACTGCAGGATACATATAGTACAGGGTATAGCTCTAATGCATACTCCAATTCAAATTCCTTGACCTTACAAATTTTAGAAGAGAGAGAAGCTTCCTTTTCTTCACTGTACAATAATGTTAAACAATTTAAAACACTATCATATGATTTCCAATTAGTATAAAAACATGAGCACAAGCAAAAACAACCATCAGGAAAAAAGTTTTCTTACTGAATCTAATCTTTCCTCTTGATGCAAGAACTGAGCAATATCTTCAGGGGTAGTGCCAAGCATTCCTTGTTCTTGTAGGTACTGAATCCCCCTCTTTGGTTTCTTATTGAATCTGTACAATCAAGATCAGGATGGAATGAGAGTTAACCCTTTTAACCATGCACAAAGCCTTACTACCCTAAGTAAAAAGATTCAATAATTTTGGATGAGGTATTGAAAAAAAAATAATCTATGTATTAAATATTTTTCCTCTATCAAGCTGTGCATTAGATAGGAATGAGCTATTCCCTTCTATGATTATTCCCTTCATCACTGGACGATTTTATGGTTGGTTTTTTTTCCCCTGTAAACAGCCTCCTCTTCCTCTTTGCTACATAACTGCCAGCATGGCGCCTGAGTAGCTCCCAGAGTGTTTTAGAGAGCTAAACACTATCATTTACTCTGGCATTCGTGAAGAAAAAAAAATATTCCACAGAAAACAGCAAAGTCTTGGCTTGGAAAGGAACAATTATGCTCTGTCACCTTCTGTTTTAATCTGTATGAAACAATCAAGAAATCCATGAGTTGCCTGTAAGAATGGAAATGTACAAGACAAGGAACTAGGTAACTGCAAGAAACTGAAACCCTAAAGAACTAAGGCATGTTTGTTCAGGGTCTGAGAACTATACTACAGAAAACTTTTATTTTTGCGTAAAGTGACCTCACTGAGAAGGTAAGGTAACAAGGCTGAAATCACACAGAAGATTCATGTCGGACTGCACTGAGAAACTATACTATCCTTCAGTTCTAATTATGACAAGTTAATCAGAAGGAAGCATCAGCTTAAGCATACAGACACTTTCATCAGTAATGTGTACACTAAAACGAGTTGTATTCAACTGATCACATGAGTTCAATGCTCTTTTTATCCAAATATAAAAATCTTATTTTTAGACAAGCAGGTCTGCAGAAAAAAGAACAAACATTCAGAGTACTCATCTTCTAGCTGTGAGGAATTAGGTTAACACAAAACACTGTTGACAGGCTCCAAAGGGGACACCATTCAGCACTTTTTCCACCAGAGGAAGTGCTGTTACATCCAGAGTTTTTTTGCTAACACGAGTATCTATGAGGAGAAGGAAGAAAAACCCAGGAATCTTCATAGCTCCAAAAGAATCCACCCTCCCATGGGTGATAAAAGGGCACTCACAAGTCAATTCCTTGTTCTATTATTTCCTTTTGTTGCTTTAGGACCTCAAACTGCTCTGGGTTGTCAGTGCCAGACATCTGTGTGCTGTAACTGCCAATTCCTGATGAAGCAGTAGAATCCAAGGAATTTAAGCTTCCATATCTGTTAATTGTCTCAGGGTGTTTGGTTTCATTGCTGTCCTGTTCTGTGGGTTTTTCTTGGCCTATAAATTGGAAAGGGTTACATATGCACAAAATACATACAGTGAAAAGAAATTAAAATCACAGGTTATTCTTCAAATCCTAAGGTTATAAAAAATGATCTATTTGCTTTTATAGAAATATTCTGCTTTTGTTTTGGTTGGGAAAAAACTGTCACAAAAATTACTGCAACATACCAAGGAGGATTCTTTCCGTCCACTGCATACCTGAAATTTAAGGCTTAAATTACAACTATAATTTGTAAGCACTTGGAAAAAATACATGACACCTTAGAAACCCAGATACAGATCTTCCTTTTTATTTTCAAGTCTGCTGTTACTTTTGACCTGAAGCGAATCACACTATTTTAAGTTTTTGAAACAGAGTGTCTAAAAGTGTTTATGATCAGACATGCCAAGGAGCTGGTGCTCTCAGTTCACAGACAGCTGTGCTAATGACCTCTAAAAAGGTTACTACTTCACTTACCAACTTTAAGCGTTTAATCTGAAAATTGTGGCAAAACCTTAGTACTTTTTTATCTCAGGTCAGATGGAAACAAAATTAAAACAAGTAATGATTGTGTTACTTCAGTGCTTACACCATTGAAAGTTCTATAGCTATATGTTAATAAATAAATAAAAATCCTCTCCATCCAGCTTGCTTCAGTAGGAATTTAATCAATATGAAGTCAGATTAAATTAGAGGGGTTTCAAAGTAAGTTTTGCAATCCTTTTAAATTTAGAAATACAGAAAATTACAGGATTTAGTCATTTTCAGTGTAGTAGCTTTCTAGGAATTCATACAATTACAAAAAGACAACTTAGACAACTTGTTCAAATGACACCAATGCAAATTTACCAATATTTCTACCAATGAAAAAATTCTCTTTTTACCAATTCTCTTTTTTTAATGCAAGAGGTTTTACCAATCTGGACAGTAACAAAAGACAACTTAGACAACTTGTTCAAATGACACCAATGCAAATTTACCAATATTTCTACCAATGAAAAAAAAAAGTTTATTCTCTTTTTTTAATGCAAGAAGTTTTACCAATCTGTACAGTAACAGTACCAAAATACTGGAAAACTGCAGTAAACTCCTGCAGTAGTATCAAGATACTGGAAAACTGCAGTAAACTCCTGCAGCACTCTTTACTGAAGCCAGAAACACATCTCATGTCTTACCAAGTGTTGTCTGAGAATTGGGATTTACATACTGATCCTTACTCCACTCCACCATGCACTTCAAGATCGATACTAAACATTCCAACCCTTTTTTTCTCAAACTTAATTCCTAGAAAAGATTTCAAAAGGAAGACATTAGTGGAATGGAGAGTTTAGTCTTAACCTATCATGCCAAGAAACATGAAGCTTCATAAAGTTTGGTGGAATTTTTACCTGAACGTTGGACATGCCAAGTTCTTGGCTACCCCTTCCTTGAGCAATCTTTGATAGGTCATTAACCAGCCTTTCAAATATATTTGCTGCATTTAAATCACAATCATAGTTCACGTAGATGTCCACTACACTCTGGGCATCTATAAACAGAGTGACATTGTCAAATGTCAAAACCTAGATCATTCAATGAAAGACAAGTACAGTTTTGTTCTTTGACATAAAAATGTAAAAATTAGAACCAAATGGTGCTTAATACCTGCGCATATCCTTGTCAGCGTTTGTATAACCATCCATTTATGATCAAATGAGCTAGTAGAAGTTTCCAAGATATACAGGAAAATTTCTTTGAAGAAAACCTAACAAATATTCCAGGAAGAGGGGAAAAAAAAATTAACATCTATTACAAACATAGTCACTAACTTTGATGGCCAATATTCTGACATAATTCTGAAAACAGCACTTCAGAGATACAGGAAACAAGAAAAAAAAAAGGGAGGAAAGGAGGAAATACAACTTATGCTTGATATATTCAAATTAGGAATCTGAATTATTACTTATGAACTTTTGGAGTTTTGTCCAGCTGAAAAATTTGGTTTGTATTCTGATCACTCAAAAACAGAAGAGCCAGGAATGATGTGAAGTCCTGAAGGACAATTTGGCCTAAGAAGAAGTCTAAGCTGCTGTAGAGTTCATTTGGCATTTTGAAAGGAGAGCTATTACCTCACCACAAAAGATTTTCTCTATGATATGATAATATTACAGCACAAACATAACAGCCACTTATGCCAATCTAAAGTATAAGAACTTCATTAGAAGGGAAACATCTTGACACAAAAGAATCACTCTACAGCATTAGATTATCGAAGAAGGGTACTCGTCAGGCACAGCATAAAAAATGCAGCAGATCCATTAATTGGAAAGTTATTCTTCCCTAAAAGACAGATTAGTTTTCTCTGAAATCACTTTAGTACAGATGCTTTTGTTTGAAACACAGACTTTTATCCCCTCTCAATTAGTTCCTCACCAGATCCATTAGTATTATAGGCTGACTATTTTAGCTGAGCATGCTTAGCAGCTAGGGCAGGCTTTTTCTCACTTCTCTAAGCAGTAGCAACTGCTGTAACAGCATATGAACTCAAAATGTGAACTGCTACATGGCATTACATCACCATCCTACACAGCATTACATCACTGTTCTGCACTTCTGAGAGCTCACCTCTTCATGGAGCCAGCTGTGGCTACCAAATCCACCAACATATGTTTCTTCTAGAACGCTGCTGATAGTCTCAAGCCATCAAGCTTCTCTTCTCCATTAACAGCACACAAATATCCAAATATATAACTACTCTTGTTTTTAATATTAGATATTCTCTTTTACCACAGAATTTTTACACAGATTTTATGCTATTAACCAGGTAGAGATAAGCATAAGGCAAAATTAGCTTTAAGTCACATGTTTGGGGGAAAAACAGCAACGCTGATTTTAAGGAACTTTGATGGTAAGCTATTTCCTCAAGCAAAATGTGCTAACAATATTTCCATTTTATTGGCCTCTTTAGAGACAGAGGCACACAGCACAATCCCAGTTACTAGTCTTAATAAGGAAAGCATCACTATGAAACCTAAGGAGTTCAACATATAACAGATCAAAGACTTTCAAGTGCTTAAATATACTCAAGAGTACTAGACTGATTTTAGCCCCAACTTTATGTAATCCAAACAGAGGAAGACATAAAATTTTAATAAAGGTCACACTATGAGCAATCCGTAGTTACATATTTGCTGTTTTCTGATTTTTTTATTGAAATACAGTAACATTATATACCCTCTGGAATCAAGAAATCTTTTTTTAAGTTCTCTACCAGAAAAAAAAAAAAAAGTCACTGATGGAGCAGAGAAAAAAGTTTCAAGTATAAAAGTTAAACCCAAATCTAAGCTAGAAGAGAAATTAGCTGGAAGGTCTGTATACTATCAAAACACTTTAGATCTCTTGGCCTCTGAGACAGAGCTGACTTACTACTTCTGGTGTCAACTTTGGACATGAACAGCTTCTCAAAACTGTACTGATTATTTACACTTAGGTATTTTACAATGCTGTCTATCACTATGTTACTTATTGCAGCTCATGTCACAGAGTTGACACTTTATTCCTAGGATATCAGAAAAATCAACCAGAAGAGAGCTAATTATTTAGTTTGGTCAACAGAAAATAAGAGGTTTAAGACAGCTCATCCGCAGTTATGAAAGGGTGCTAATGGTAAGTATAGCTACATGAAACCCCAAACCCCCTGATATCTAGGACTAGATTTGCTGCAAATACATTCATTGACCCATTTAGAAATACAGTTACAATACAACTAAGGTATGACTCAAACTATTTTCACTGTCAGAGGGCAGTGTTAGCTGAATATTTAAGTCAGAGGACCAAGGGAGGGTCACTTTCAACAGAATTTGAAACTATTTTTTTAAAATATGCCAAAAATTTCTTACACAGATGAAGAATGCAGCCTCAATCCCAAAATATATAGATTTTGCATATCATAAATCTGAGCATATGGCTTTCCTTACAGCTCCAAGACACAAACTGAATGTGAAGTTATCTACTTGTCTACCCACATCTTCTGAATAACCTTTAGGATCAGTAGCTGAAAGAAGAGGAATTCTTAGCTTACAACCAGGAAAAAGAGTAAGTTTACTAGAAATTGCTGTCCCTTGTGCTTTGTAATAGATGGATACTTTTGCAGCATCAAGCTTTTAGCTTTCATACTTGTGAGGAGAAAATGCAGTCCTGCTATGTGATGATGGTCCTAATTTAGCATATTCTAGAAGCTGCTACAATAGTGTAGGGTATCCTATATACAATTTTCCTCAGATATGTGTTCATTTTCTGTTTGGAATTAGGGGAAAGGATGGCAGCAAAGGAAGCTTATCAAATTTCTGTCAGAGAAGCTGGATTGCAATGCATTTACCACTTACACGCTGACTTATAAGCTCTGTGAACACATAGTGAGTCCAACACTTTCTGGGAAGCAGGCTGTGCGACTGAAGAGCAGCTCGGCCCAGTCTGTCTGATGTGCTGAACACTGCACATGCACTATCGTCTTGTTGAGCACACACAGCTTGTCTTGAAAGTCTTCAAAATGCAACCATATTTTCAAGGCACATTCAATCAATCACCAAACCTGCATTTTTATCCAAGCTGTGCTCAAGGAAATATTGGAGATGCTATTGTTTCTTCCCCAAAAGGGCATCAAAATTACCTGGTAAGCAATCAGAACGTAATACCCTTCTGACATGGTACTGGCAAAATGAGGTTCTTCCTCCAAAGCTGCCACAACATATCAACTTATACAGTGACATCCATAGATGAAGAAATCCCTGTATTCAAGGTCCTCGTAGCAGCAACATTATCAACATTTGGCAACATCTTTTCACACACTGAACCTCCACACTTACAGGGCAATTTGTAGGCTTCAATATTCACATTGACTCCCAAAACATAAAATTACCAAAATGAACAGTAGGAACACAATGCGCACGCTACTACTTTATTCACCGTGGAATTAAGATCTTTAACACACAGGACACACAAGAGGGTATCCATGTGGTTCAAATGGACAGAATCATTCCAAGAAGCTGCTCATACCCTATGAAACAAGGATTAGAAGTCAAGAACAAAGCCTCTACCTACGTCTTGCATTCCCCTCTGACTTAGAATATTATCTGTTCAGTGAGAAAATTCACAATGTTTGTCAGGACTCGGATAATTCTTATTGCTAAGAATATGGACTTATCTCTACTTATGGGCCAAAGAGTTAAATCGTGTGTACACCTTTTGAGATCTGAGGAAATGACGTTATCGTTTTCAGGACATATATTGATGTAGGCCCCGATACACACAGAGAAGTGGCTACAATAATCAAATAGCTGGGATTTCCCTAGAGAAGGCAATCTCTCCAAGTGACCTCAATGACAATGCACAATGCATTTCAAGTCATTAACTTTTATTCTAAAATTCCTTTGCAAAACCATATATTACATAGTTTTTTCATAAGTGTTCTCATTTTCTTAATTTGTACTATGTAATGCAGAGCTAAAACTTCCTAATCACATTATTGAGCATTGGTTAACCGAGCTTATCCACAAACCTACTCATTTCTGAGTTTCAGCATCATTCTGCGATAATACCATGCCACCACCACCAAAGAACTCTGCTTTTAAATAAATGAATTCATATAGTAATAGCAGTATCGGCATAATAAATTATGACTATAAAAATTCACCTCAATCACAGAGTAAATCAAAGCACATTATGCACTGCAAAATTTCTTAGTTTATGTTAATGTCTATTATCAAGTGATGCAATGGCCTACTTCTTTATTAGGTACTCTATTTCATGTTCTAGTTAAAGTATGATGGAAATTTTTTTAAACAGCACTACAAAAGTTTTCCCATCACTTTCCACTTCATCAAACAACACTACCACAAGTGTCACATTACTTCTGATGTTACAGAGCAAATCTTACTTAATCTATAAGTATTACAAAGGAAATGCTGCTATTTTATTTGAAGGGGGTTTCAAGGGCATTGTTGCAAGCAAGTCCATTGCCACTGGGTGAAAAAGAACTTCTATGCATGGAAAGATCTGGCAAGTCTTATGCAAAAGCTGAGATTCAGCAAGGAAAACAAGTTTATCTAAGCAAGACCAAGCTACACACAAATATAAAAAAAAGTTCACTTAACAACTCCCTCCTCCCCGCCCCCAAATTAGAAATTCTCGTACCTCGATCTGCATCTTTAGATGTGTCTTAAAGTTTGAGAGGAGGGTAAGAAATATGGAAAGTGAAAGTTCAAAAACTTCTGGAACTGATGAGACTCCATTTTTTGACAGTGCAACACAAAGGTATTGCTTAATAGCATTAATAAACATCTCATTTGTCCTGAAGACAGGTCCTGCATTTTGCAGAATGGACAGAAGCAACTGCAATGAAAGAATCTTTGATCGCAGTTCATGAGATCTAGAATAAAAAAATGCAGCATATCAGCTCAGTGTAAGTCATAAGCACATTAACACATTCTCTTGAAAAGTCAATACACACCACAATGATTTTGTATGTGGAATGTTCATGAAATAAACTCAACTGACATGGCAATAGCAAAGTCGGGCAACTGAAGTGTTGTCAAGTTCTCCACAGTAACATCACGCTTCTTGCAGACTGAAGTAAGCTAGAATTCATGTCAGAACAGTGCTACTATGCTTTTAAAAACTACTATGCTTTTAAAAAAACACAACAAAAAAACCCCCAAACCACACAAAAAAAAAACCCCAGCAAAAAAACCCCCCAAACCCAAACCACACACACAAAAAAGTGTAAAGGGTATCTGCATCTATGAAAATATAATGTAATTTATATAGTGTTCTGGTGAAAGCATTCTCTCCTCAGACTCCTGATGCTCCTTCCAACTTCTGATCATCTCAGAAAACTCTAACTCTTCTGAAGAGCACGTAGACACACAACTGGCTTTCCCAACAAGACAGTCCACAGCTTTCAGTGAGCAACCACACACTGACAGAGGACAGTTATGAAATATAAGGAACAATGACAGGAAATTTTTCATACAGTACAGCCCGGACAGGGTAAGAAGCGCTTCAGGTCAACAAGTGACACACATAGTAGCTGGATATTTGCTGTATACTGCAAAAATATGAGCTTAATGAAGGGGAAAAAAAAAAAAAGTAATTCCAGTCTAGCTGGAAACGAAAATGCAAATTAATAACAAGTATGTTGCAAATAAACTCAATGACTTCTGCATGCTGGCAAACAAAGCGGGATGGGGGAGAAATCAATCTGCAAACATTTCAAACTCATGGAGTAAAATCTCAAGCTTAGACTTTCTGTTTGAAGACACTTTTGAGAAGCAAAACATAGCCAGTCAAACTGAGATACTTGTTCCTCCCATTCCTCCTAATCAGCTGCAGGTCAATGTAAATGCTCCCAAACAGCTCTCTGTAGGAGTTCTTCAAGAAAATGCCTCGCTCTGGACATGGCACAGCTGCATGGGAACCTAACACAACAATCTCCTTTGATGCAAAAGGCTTAATTTTTGCATCACGCTGTATGAAGAGTGCAGAAAGCACATGACCAGACCATAGTTTGCTATGAAAAATAAGAATTTAAACATGAAGATAATTTCAATCATAAATAAAATATTAAATATTGCCTGCTTCCAGCAAGCGTCAGCTCATAATTGAAGTCCTAACTTGCTGGCCTTACCAATTCTGTATGACGTGTAAAGCCTACTTAATTTAAAACAAGTTTAAGGACTGAAATCTAATAAGTGAACCTTCAAGACCTTTCTCCCCATCTTATTTTATTCCAGGGAAAAAGGAGATAAAGACATTAAGCAGGTTCCCAGGAAGCATAACCTTGATCTCAACTCCCAGCCCTGTCTAGTTACCTAAAATTTAGAGATGTTTTCATTAAAGACTTCACAGCTAATTTTACTGGAAAGATGATTTTTAAAGAGGCAAATGCTGTAGATAAAATGTTGTAGATATCCTACGCCTCCTCTTCCAATTACAGCATGTTTGTAATAGTTCAAAAAGCCATCAATGCCTCAGAACCACTGATAAATTCTAGGCATGTCTCCAAACACAGGATGTCTTCAAATGCCTTTGCAGCTAATTCTTGTTGCCCTAAATGTCGTTTCCTTCAATTTGTTCTATATGAAGAGCTTAATCAGTTCTAATATGAACATCAAGGACTCCATGGATTCAGATGAGATGCTCCAAGTGCCTCAATAGCTCTTGCTGCTCTTCCAGAGGGAGTTAATCCATTAAAGCCTTTAATAAATGGACAGCCTTAATTTCAGAGAACTGACTAAAACCATAGGATTTACGTGGTATTTCCTAGAAGACAAATTCTCAAAAATAGGAGGAAAAACTTCATGTCTCAGTTGTCATTCTTGAATGTCCTGACTTTCCATAGTGCATCACAATTTGAAAATGGTTCTAAACTAACCCTTCAAAACCCTTTCTACCGCATCTTTTTTTTTTTCAGTTTATTAAACACATGGCACATACCAGTGTTTAAATGAAACTGTCTTAAATTTACCTGCTTTAAAAGTTAGACCTTGGAACATTAAAGCTGATTTTATCTTGAAGAATACTGGCCTTTGACTGTCATCAGAAGTCATATTACAATTTTAGTATCTTAGGAACAAAAAACCATTCCTCTTGAAAATTATAACCAATTGTTCCTAATGTGCCAAAAAGGATGCATATAAATTCTATCCAAAATCAGAAAAGCAAACTTCTTTGACAACACTCACAACTAACTAATACTGGCCCCCATCTGTAGATTTTGGTTTTTTGGTTTACAATGAACAATTCTCTAAGTCAAATTGAAAACATGGTATCTTCAGTCAGAGGACAAGATTTCCAAAGAAGCCAAATGAAGACTCTGTTTTCAAAACATTTGTGTTTTGATTAAGGACGCTGTCAAAAGTGTCCAACCTGAGCAGAAGAATGAAACACTATATCAAGAATTTATCATAACCAGTATCAGCTTAATGTGAGGAGCTTATATTAAGATGAAGTAGAGCTGGGTATACATACTGGCTACCCAATATGCAAGAGATTGTGGGGCATAAACAGCAATGGTTACAAACCTAGGTATCACTTAAAAGCAGAGCAACATTAGCTGAGACCCAAAATACCTAAGACTTCCTTTACAAACCCTTTCGAAAAGCGTTATAAAGAGCAACTAGGAAGAACATGACGTACTTACAGGAACCATAGGTGTTGTTAAGAAGCTTCTCAACAGGTAGATGGGTAGCAGCAGTTGCTTTCATTTAACATACAAATGATGCATTAAAACATAAAAGTACCTTTCAACGCTTCTAGGTTCTTTCTACCACACTATTATTTTCTCAGTAACTGAGGACTCTCAAAAATATTTCAATAATTTGTCTTTATTTTCAAATAGAAGATGATATATTATGAGAACTCTTAATTCTACTTACTTGGGATCTGGTGGTCCATCTGACAGGGGCTTCATGGAGAGTTTACACAGTGACCTGAATACAAGGAAGGCATCCTTTTGTAAAATGTGGGAAAACTTAGCACCAGGGGTAGGTCCTGAAGAATTTCCAGATTCCTAAAGAAGTTAACATATTTCAGTATTCCATTTTGCATTAGCATTTTTTTTCCCCACCTCCTAGCAACAAGAAGTTAACATATTATACAAATATAACCAGTTCACTATAGCTTTATGGTCTCAAGACTAAACTAAAACAAACCAAATTATTCTGCAGTCCAGTTAAAATGAACAAACTCACTAATAAATTTGCCATCTCAGTAAAAAAGTCAGAATTAATTAAAGACTGTCAAAAAATTAGGTAGGTCAAGTTTAAATAAGGTAACTTGCTGTGAATTGCCTTCAGACTTTTTCAGTAGATAACTAGTTTTAAAAAAAAACCCCAAATACCTTGACATTTTAATACAATGTGAGTAGTTACATACCTGTGGCAAGACACATTTGGTAAAATTTCTATGGTACAACAATCACCCCTATTACTAAGTTCTTGCAATTGAGTATTGCTGTTCCTTATATAAGCAATGTTTAATGTTAATCTTCTATTGTATGTCATATGTGACTGTAGCTTTTTAAGCTCAAAACCTATTATTCCCAAACCTAATTACTCAGTATGCTTTGACAGCAGATACCCTCTGTCAGTTGATACTGTATACATGCTGATATCTGATACAACAGAGGAAGTATATTGTCACATCTTTTTTGTTAATGAAAATCAAATCCTCTTGGACATGAAACATTTATCTGAAATAATTGCCATAAGGTCATGCTATAGGCTTGAAATTTCTGCTTATCATTTGAAAAGAGCACACTGAAATTCTACAAGTATGTCTATACTTTCTATATTCTTCACTATGTATACTGAATGCTAGTTTTATAGCTTCTCAAGAGCACTTCAAAAACAGGGAATTGAGTTCTCTAATCTTGGAACAGTGTACTCTATGGAGTAGCTAAAAATATGCTAGGATAAAAAGGGCATCACATGCAAAATTTACTTACAAAAATTTAATTTAAATAGTACATTAAAATAGAATAATGCTTAGAACATGACTTAATACTTGAGAGACACCTGAATAACTTATATTACAGAATTATATTAAGCACTCCCTGCACAAGTGTTGGGAAACACTTAAAATATATTACTGGGGTTTTTTTCAGTATGTCCTAATTTATAACTGCCTGTACCTGAGTATCGTTGGAAGAGACAGATAATCTGTCATCAGGTAAAGATGGTGTATAAGCAACAGAAATTGGAGTCCCTGGAATTCCATTTGCCTGAATGTTTTCACTGTCACTGCCATCCTCTAACGTAACAATTGTGCCATCACCACCTGCACTTTCAGCAGTCCCTTCCACATCTATCAGAAAAGATGTAAAAATGATAAGCAAATGTTACATAAGAAGACAAATTAAAAAGAGCTTTTAAATCTAATGTTTAATTACTAAAACAATCATAAGCAATGTATCATAGGGAGGAGCTTAAGGCAAAATTTACATGGCATTATATAACTAAAAGAAGATTCCAAATACTCTGAAGTCCTACTAATGAAAATTACAATTAAAAAATGACTTAAAACTTTATATTGCCAGGTTCGCCATTCTACCAAATTTCCAAGAAGTATCGGGGAAGGGGAGGAGGGGAGGGAAGTCACTGATTTGATATACACTTTCCAACAAACTGAAAAATTTAGTGCTACATTGCTACTACAGAGCCAGGCCCATTTGTGAAGAGTTTATGTGGAAACAAAACAGAAAAAAATAAAGGAACAAGAACTTGTATTTTAAAAAGAATATTAGTCTCCAACATAGAGAGGGTAAATTAACATATGAAATCTTGTCCATTTTACTGTTAAATAATGCACAGCTAATGCCAGACAACTGAAACTGTTTTCTTCAGCATGTGTTATTTAAATAATGACATAGTTAAATATTCAAGTGTTAAAATAATTCTTAATGTCAAGATTCAGACTGCAGTTGCTATTGACTAGACAGATATTAACGTAATACCTCCAACTACTATGTTCACCATTTCTTGCACAATACTTTCTACAATTTCTTGCGCCTTCTCTTCACACTCATTTTCACCATCATACGTTCCTCCATCAGCTTTAGAAAGATCTTTAAAAAGAAAAACAAACCCAAATAAATATTAATGAGAAATTCAGAAATTAAGGAGCTATTTTACTTGAATTTAATATTTAAAAATTCAATTAGAAATCTATTAATAGGAGAGTATATGTTAAAAAAGCCGTGTTTGGATGCTCTGAAAACAGTATTTGCAGAATATAAGCATTCCAGCACTTAACCTGTAAATGGTAATTAATCCACAGGGCTATGCTAACAAAAGACATCAATTTTGTATTTTCATGTACATTAAACACTGAAAACTTACTGGTTTTGAGACATCAAAAACTTTCATAACATTACATAGGTGCAAAGAGGAATCTTTGCTACAGTGACTACAACAGAGCGTAGGACTAAAGGATTCTCGTGATAAAGTTTAACAGTGGTAACAAGGACAACAGGCATTTTGCATTAGTCAACTAGTTGAAAATATATGCCCAATTCCACATTTTGGAGAGGGAAAAAGACGACAATCCTCAAGCCTTTCTTTTTACAGACCTTTGCCCTCCCTCCACGAAACAGAAATACACACTGATTACTTTCTGCTGCTGTGGCTTGGTCAGCTTCTGTCTGTTCATTTTCAGCGCTAGAAAGATCAGATCCATTTTCTGCCTCTATATCTTCTTGAAGGTTCTTGTCCACATCATTTGTGCTGTCAAGCTCTCTCTCGTGTTCTTTGGACAGCTGATCAGTCTGTGTTGGAATATGCCTCAATTGAGGTGACTCAGGCTCATGATGGCTTACTGGAGACTGCTGTAGATGGTGTTGCTGTCTGTGTCTTTCCTTTTCCATCTGTTTGGCTTCCTGAAGCTACAAAAACATTGCAATCACACAAGAATTTCACTATCGAAACAAAACAATGAGCTGTATACGTATTATATACATTATTTTATAAACAAGAAACCTCTATTGTCTCTGCTTACACAGTGCCTTCATAAGCTGTAACAGTCTAAGAAAATGCATAATTTGTATTATTACAAATAATGTTAATATCACAGGATAAACCTTTGCCAAAGGGCTGCTTCCCAACTATGCACATCACACTTCACCATACCTTCACTGTGGGAGAGACATGACTAAATTACACATATTCTAGGACCAAGAGTTGTCTGCCTGTCCTATAAGGAAGTTCAGCCAATATATGTGACAACATACAAGGACTGCATGGAGAAACATCAAAGCAGATTTTTTTTCTTTTTTTTTGAAAGCTCTCATAAAGAGAAATACAAGGGAGAACTTAGGAGTCTTCTGTCATCCTACAAGCATGTGGTATTAAGGGAAAGACAGAAAAAATAATAATCAGGAAACTGACTAAACGTCCAGGTAAAAACACATCCAAAAATGGCAGTTAAAAGTGGAAAAAAAGCACCATTTCCAAAACACTATGGAAGACAGATCCTCAGGAAGAAATGATATGTAAAACTGTAAGACAAACACCATTTTAGTTTCATAGTTCCTTGATGCAGAATCCCCGGAAAGGGAAGAATTTCTGTAACTTGACGAATGAATTAAGACAACAGCCATTAAAGTCAAACCAAAGCAGGGCGTCCCTTGAGGAGATGCTCTAAGGGCTGGCATTCTGTCCCTGCAGAGCCTAGTGTTTATCAAAAGTTTTGCAACTTTTTACACTGTTATTTTGGCTGCTATGATCTTAGCCCTTTACTCTTCCACTTAAAGCTTTCTATGCTGCATCTTTTGGGGTGCTACAGATCCCTAGGTAGATACTACCTTTCAAATTACAGCTCAAAAAATTCCTTCTAGCATTTGTTAGCTCTCATATTAAAATAACTGCTCTGAGTGTGCAAAACAAGCAGAACCGCTTATCAACTTCCATATAGACTTATAGTCTGGCAAAAATGAAGACTTCCATTGCAGAATAATAATAATAATAAAAACAATCATCATCATCCTCCTCTTCTATATTAAATTGCTTAAAAGGACAGTAACTGCATAGATTTCTCAAAGCACTCAGCTACTGCATGGCTTCTGCCATGACATCATAAATGTGATGTCTCATAAATCTTTGACTGTGATGGTACTGTGTACCGATATGCAGTTGGTCAGAGAGGAAAGTACGTACAAAGTACTACATATTCTTAGAGAAAACTTAGAGTTTGTAATAATACAACAGAATTACTTCTAGAAGTAGCTAGGAATTCAACCAGTTCTCAAATCTGGGCTTCTTTTTGTTTGTGTGGATTTGGGGTGGGGGGTTTTTTTTGTTTTTTTTTGTTTTTTTTAAATAGGAATTAAGACAATTAGTTTGTCTTACTGATATTTATTATCATGCACAAGGCATATACTGGGGTGCCTGCTGAAAACTCACAATAGCAATTTTAGTGACATATAAGTATCTGTTAGTGACTACTACACATTAAAATGTTAAAAAATGTAAATGATTACATGACTGGAAAGTGGGTTTTGGGGTTTTTTTGTTTGGATCTTTTTGTTTTGTTTTAATCATGGATTGCAACTTTGGTGTTTATCATCACAAAAACACTGGAGTATTTCACTAACACTAATGTACTCCATATGCACTCTTATGCAGGTAGCGTGACATCTCTTGACAGAAACTGAAGTTGAATACACCCATTAGGGAAGTTTAGACCCTATACACCACCACCCCCCCCCAAAAACGCATTTCACACCTATTTCAGAAGAACACAAAAAGAACAATGTAAGATACTAGATTTTTTTCCCCCCCAAAAAGTACATAAGTTAGGAAAGCCAAAAAGCTTTAATAATAATGACAAAACAAATATCTCAAGCTAGTTTGCTTTTAAGAGCTAGTTTATATATAAAGATACTAAGATACTCACTGCTTGATTTTCCATACGTGCAAAAATGACATTCAGCATTTGTGTTAGAGTGGCCTTGGCTGTGGTTTGATTTATGAGATTTTTGCTTGCTAGATAGATATTGTAACATGTTCTTACAGCCTGCAGCACTGTTCCTTCGTGGATTTCTATGTGTTGAGATGTTACTGCAGTGAGCAAAGCCTAAATAAACAGACATACACATACATATATATACATATCTATATATAAAATTTTTTCCCAGTCAAAACTTTTCTTGTCAAATAGTTTGCAAATGAATAAATATCAAAATTGGATTACTTTTAAAATACAACTAAGTTCATATCTTGAACTGCAGTTTAATTAAGTTTTCCAATGTACTCTTGTAGCCATTCGGAACATCATACATACCAGTTACATTAAATTGAGATTTTTAATCAATCTATCTAGGAAATACATGTTTCATAGCATATAACAGCAAGAAGTAACCAACAGAGTTATCAGACAGTAGTTAATAAAAGTCATCCTAGAATTTTCTAGACACAAAACATGAACAACAGACTACCTATTAAAATCTGGAAAGCAATCCAAAGGGTCCAAAAGTTGTTTTACAAATAAATGTAAATAACAAAGACTGAGTATGAGATTAGGTAGTTATAAGTGGGACAATTACCCTTTCTAAACACTCTCTTTGGTTAGACGCTAGAATACTGTGGTGCCCTCTCTGCAGAAATTCACTTCCTTCTTTCCATTAGTATTTGCTTCTCTTTTTTTTTTTTTTTTGTAAAAAACAAAACAAAACAAACACACAAAAAAACCCCAAACCATGCAAATAAGCCTCTTAAAGATCAGGTAACACAGAAGGAAGGAACACATTATCTTTATGTGAAGTAGAGGCAGGCTGGATTAAAGAGCAGAAATAGAGGCAGATGAAAGCTGTGTCTTCACAGGGTGTGAAGACATTGTCAGAGGTGTGTGTTGGAGAGTGGAAGGAAAAGGGAAGAGTTTGGTCCACAATAGAACAAACCTGTTTATACTGATCGTTGTACTCCAGTAGAAGAAATCAGGGAATTTTATGCATGAAAGACTTTAACAGAGTTAATGATTTAACGGGACATTTATGGCAAATAAGAAAGAACTGGAAGCACTGGAAAGTTTATCACCGTTAAAAATAAATGTTATTTTAAGTGTTGTGTAATTTACTCATCACCATGCCTCATTTCTCTTACTGACATCGTCAGTGCCTCTGTCCACACAAGGCATCAACAAGTGGACAAATAATGTCCATTACTCACTCAAATCACTGTACAGCTTAACAGGAAAAAGAAAATCATAGACCCACCTCACTTAGCTGCTGCTGAAGAGACCTGAATGCTAGTCCTCGATAAGCAGTCCACTTAAGGGCCCTTCTTATTCTACCCGTGGTGCCTCAGTTCTCTCATCAGTGGACATAGGGAGGTACATATATGGATAACTGTACTTACATTTCTCACTAGAGAGTATACATTCTTATCTGCGTGACCACTAAACAGCATCTCACGCTACAAAGTAGTACTGCCTAAATGCCCACTAGAAGTCTGTTTTAACAACAAAAAATATTCAAAAAACACCCAACCAACTGAAGAAATCACAGAGGTAGGCAAACAGTAGACAATGGCTTTGCTAAAAGAACTTAAGTCTCCGAGAACTGGTACTGTTCTTTTTATCCTCCCAAAATTCAGTTTACATGTCATCAGCCTTCTAAAAACCAAGAAGTGTTAAGTTGAAATTCATACCACCATCCTTAATTCTTCCCCTCTCTGTGCAATGATTCAATACCTCCACGGAACTTAGCAATACCCTGCTTCTGCTAATAGAAACATCATTCAGGGAAGAGGATATATAAAAGCCGTAACAAAATCCAGTGCCTGATCTGGATGGAGATCAGTGACAAGTGGTGTCCCCTCAGGGGTCCGTACTGGGGCCAGTGCTGTTTAATATCTTCCTCATCGAGATGGACAGTGGGATCAAGTGCACCATCAGCAGATTTGCAGATGACACCAAGCTGAGTCATGCGGTTGACATGCCTGAGGGATGAGATGCCATCCACAGGGACCCTGACAAGCTTGACATTCAACAGGGCCAAGTGCCTTCTGTCACAGAATTAACCTTGACGAACTTTGTCTATGCTAGGTTAAAAAAAAAAATAAAATCAGTAACTCTTGAAAACAAGCCAAACAAGTGGAGCCCAGGCATAAACAGACAGCTATTTTTTTCCAAAGCACTACTGTTTGGGCCCAATACACCAAGCATTTAGATTTAGTAAAGATTTCTTTCACTGAATTCGAAAAAAGATAACACTGACACACACACACACTTACAATGCATCTGTTTAAGAACCACCTACAATTTCTCACTTGGAAGATAAGGTCTCCTGCTGTCTAGCTTTAGGACACTAAGAAAAAGGTGCAGGGGGATCAAGTCTTCATTTCTTTTCCTCTAGCTATGTCACTCATAAAGTTACTCCTTTGTGTCACTTTCTTAAAATTCGGGTGATTAAAAATTTTATATCTGAAAGTCCAATTTTAACTTCCATGTTAGTTCAGTACAGTCTTATGGGTTTTTCTCCCTAAATTTTAATAATCACAGAATCATTGAATGGGTTTGGGTTGGAAGGGACCTTAAACATCAAGTTCCAACCCCCTGCCATGGTTATTGACACCTTCCACTAGACCAGGTTGCCCAAAGCCCCATCCAGCCTGGCCTTGAACACTTCCAGGGATGGGGCCTTCACAGCCTCTCTGGGCAACCTGTTCCAGTGCCTCACAACCCTCATCATAAAAAATTTCTTCCTTATATCTAATCTAAATCTACCCTCTTTTAGTTTAAAGCCATTACCCCTTGTCCTATCACTACATGCCCTTGTAAAAAGTCCCTCTCCAGCTTTCTTGTAGGCCCCCTTTAGCTATAACGGGAGACAATGCCTGCTAGTAAAACAAGGTGACAAGGCTACGGATGGATTACGTGCTGTTTTGTTTTAATTGGCTTGACAGCCTGAATTTCATAATTTATTTCAGTATGCTTATTATAACGGATAGAGCTTGGTTCCTTTCACAATACTTGAGAAGGGGGTGTGCAGACAAAGAAATGTTCACTTACACACCC